GACGACCTACATCTCGTTCGTTGACGTCGCGGTTATCGTTCAAGCTGTCCAGGAGGTCCGGAATCGACAGACCAGCTGCCGCGTCGAGGACAGTAAGCGTTCGTTTGGTAGTTTTTGTCTTGTTGACTTGGGCGAGGCTCTCGGACCGGTGCAGCACTTTTCCGAGAGCGTACTCGGGGGGCATGGTCAGTTGGATGGTTGTATCTGTCTCGACCACTTCCACTTGCCCAAGCACTTCGAGAGCGGCGAACTCCCAGTCCTTGGTACGGACCTTGGACGAGCGAAACATGTGTAATGCGTTGAGCACCCTCCACGTCGCCTTGTCCAGTTGGAGGGACCCGCGCTTGCGTCGCTGGATGCAGCTCACATACGCCACGCCTTGGCTTAGCCACAGCGCGTAATACGGTTCGTCCGCGGCAGTTGTGCCGAGAGCCACAGCCGTGGACCACACCTTTTTGCTCAAAAAGTTGCGGGCAGCTGCAATCAATGTCTTGGCTGCGCGTCGCCGCCTTAGAAACGCCCGTACCAGGCGCTGTATGCGGGTAGCCATGCGATAATGCCACAACCACCACCGGTACTCCACGTACGTGCGATAGGCTTTTTGAATGGACAACACTGCGCGTCGACGCTGGCGGCGCCACGTCACAAGCCGCCAAACCATTGCAAGGACTGTTTGGGCGTGGGTTCGAACGCGTAGCCGATACGCTGCCCAACAACGTTGAAGTCGACGACTGGCTTGACTTCGCCACCGGTGGCGCTGCTGGATGGCCAGCATGGTGCCCTGTACGAGCCACGCTGTTGTGAGGGGACGAAAGACGCAGCGGAAGTGCCATCGTCGCATGCAATTCCGCCACTGCATTTGAATCCCAGTGGAGGCCACGCGTCTGGCGTCACAGGCAAATACGACGTGTAAAACTGTCTCGTATGCTACAATCCGAAGCTGCATCCGACGCACTCGACGCGCTCGCCACCAGCTTTGGACTGTTCTGGCAGCAGCCACGCATCGTCGTCGTCGCTGTGCCTTGGCTCGCTTCCGCCACCACATTTGAATTCTCGCCGAGGCTAGTGTGCGGTTCTGGATGCAGCTCACATACGCCGCGCCTTGGCTTATCCACAGCGCGTAATACGGTTCGTCCGCGGCGGTTGTGCCGAGAGCCACAGCCGTGGACCACACCTTTTTGCTCAAAAAGTTGCGGGCAGCTGCAATCAATGTCTTGGCTGCGCGTCGCCGCCTTAGAAACGCCCGTACCAGGCGCTGTATGCGGGTAGCCATGCGATAATGCCACAACCACCACCGGTACTCCACGTACGTGCGATAGGCTTTTTGAATGGACAACACTGCGCGTCGACGCTGGCGGCGCCACGTCACAAGCCGCCAAACCATTGCAAGGACTGTTTGGGCGTGGGTTCGAACGCGTAGCCGATACGCTGCCCAACAACGTTGAAGTCGACGACTGGCTTGACTTCGCCACCGGTGGCGCTGCTGGATGGCCAGCATGGTGCCCTGTACGAGCCACGCTGTTGTGAGGGGACGAAAGACGCAGCGGAAGTGCCATCGTCGCATGCAATTCCGCCACTGCATTTGAATCCCAGTGGAGGCCACGCGAAGCTGCATCCGACGAACTCGACGCGCTCGCCACCAGCTTTGGACTGTTCTGGCAGCCGTCACGCATCGTCGTCGTCGCTGTGCCTTGGTTCGCTGCCGCCACCACATTTGAATTCTCGCTGAGGCTAGTGTCTGGCCTCGCCTGACTTGGCTGGATTTTGCAAGGCGCCACCACTGCTGCACTGCGACCGCATGCACGTTGCGTTGCTGTTGAAGCTGGACGCGTAATACACGCCACTTGCTTTGAATGATCCGCGCCTGCAGCTGTTGGTTCATGCGTGCAGATTCTGCTTGCACCGTTTGCAGTTTGAGTTCCCACTTTTGTTGAGCGACCATATCTCGCCATCGGCGCTGGATAGACCGAGCTTGAACAGTCTGGAGCTTCACACGCATGAGTTGTAACTCATGTCCGTTGCCGGCAGCCGTCGACGTCATCTGCATTCGCGTCCTCTTCTGCCTGGAGTTTCTATAGTGTCGCAGCCATGCCACGGCAATGTGACGAGCGGCTCGGTATTTTGCGGTCTGTGATCGCCACATGTGAATCGCTGCCCTCGCCAACCGGCGCCGCGCTTGGCGCCGTAGCAATTTCGCAGTTCGCCACCGCTGCATCTGGTACTGCCACGTGGCAAACGCACGTCGACAGATTACACGTCGGGCCAGTGCACATTCCAGGCCATGTCGATGCCACGCTAAAAAAAGGCGCTGTATCCGTGCCGTATCTCGCTTCTGGCGCGCACGTTGGTACCGCTGGAATAGGTCGTGGCGTTGGAGCCAAGCGTAAAAACAAGACACAATCAGGGGCCGTCGGGCAGCGGTAGCACAGTCGTCGATGTCCTCGTTATGAGGGAGCGCCAAGGAGGCGTTCGAGACATCATTGAGGGGAACATCGATTTCACCTTCGACAGGAAGAACTACAACGAGTGGATGCGGATGCCTGTCGAGTTCGTTGGCAATCACGGCCAAAATTGTCAAAAGCATGTCCCCATCCACTTCGTTGGACATGTGCAACGTCGCTTGCAGCTGCGCCAGGCGGGCGGGCGTGGGGGCGGCGCAATAGCGCTGCCAGTGGGGGTCTGTCAACGTGATCGCGCACAGCAACGGGTTGTTTGTGCACGTGGGAATGCCCAACGCATGCGCGAGCATCCCCTCGTCTCCAAGCCAGTCCAAGTCATTGGCCATCTAGTTGACAGAAATCTAGCTGTTCAATCTTCCGTTCACAACGAGTCATTGAATTGCAAACGCTCGCTACTGTACGTTCTAACCTGGACGAGGTAGTTGCGGCCTAGCCATCGAAACTCCTTTGTGGTGTCCTATGGTCGAGAATAGTTCCGTTCATTGTCGTCTGGCATCATGGGTAAAGAACTAAAAACACACCATCGAGTGGTGGCGCCACGCTTTGAGCGCGTTGACCACGTCCACAGACAGCTGGCGCACCACCGCCGCACACTGCATCAACTTCAGGACACGTGTGGTGGATTGTCGTGATGACGTCTTGCTCGCGGCCATCATCTCCTGTACCGCCGCTTCCCGCCACTTCACCTAGAAAGAGTGGTTGCCTACCGTGCTAACAAGTTCTGGTCGGCGACGTACCTTGTCCACCAACGCAGCTTCCAGCACGGAGAGTTTGTCATCGTGCTTGCTGTCGCCGGAATTGTCATCACCACCCCTCCACACGCCCGGGGAATTCGACGACTTGGATGATCTGGTGGTTGCTAGGGACTCTAAGTACGGCTGTTTGTCGGATGTGGCACGCTGTTTGTGCACTGCACGCACGGCGCGACTTGGAATGGGTGGTCGAGGACACTTTTTGGAATTCATGGCCGAAGCAGAGCGCTACACTCACGTCCAATACAATGCGACCAACGTCGATGGATTTGGTGGTACTATACCGGTCGTTCGAGGACTCGAAATTGCCCGTCATCCAATTGTATCAATTCATATGCAGCCACTGCGTATTGCAGATTTATCCACGGGTCGTTTAAGCAGTGGGGGCATAGAACAATTGCTTACCTCGCGGAAGAAATCGGCGATGAGTGCTCTTTGCCTCAATCAGTTCAACCTGCACGTCACCCTACTCGCCCACTTGAGTTACGATACTGTATCACATGGTCTGACCAAGGACTACAAATATGTGCATACCTCATTTATTCGTCGACGCATGCGTCGTGGGGCATGGGCGTCGCAGCGCTATGTACTGAGGGATTGATGGTAGCAGCTGCGATTGCGACTTAGAAACGGCTCGTGGCGGTTTCATGAAACGCCGAGGTCGACTGGAACTACGTATTATAGTCTTTTTTAAGCGCTAGACACCCTTGTCGTACTCCAGCAGTTCTTGGTGATGGGGCGCTGTTTGTTTAACACTGTCCCATACTGGTAGATGCACATACCCATGAGCTGCCCCCTGGCATGCTTTAGAGAAGCACACTACCATACCAGGTTACTTACCGTGGAGATTAACAGTGTAACGTTGAATACGGTCTTCATGAACTGACGTTAATAATACTACCGTACCGTACACAATAACTACCCGGACTTAATAACTACCCGCGGGTCTTCCCGGTCGGAATAACTACCCTGTCTGACTAAGGCGGATAAAAAATATTTTAATGTAAATATTAAACGTGACATTTGTATACTCAATTAAATATATTTAATTTTATTGAAAAGTAATCTGATTCTGGGGACAATTCGGCCATTCGTTATCGAACTTAAAAAATGGCCTTCAAATTGGCAAAATATTCAATCACCCGCCAGAGAATCAAATCTTAACTTTAAACCTCCCCATCTCGCCCACTTGTTCATGTGGTTGTTGTTTTGCCGTTGAAGCACTAACCAGGCTCTCTCGCTTCTATGATGTTGTATTTATGATCAAACATGCTCAAAAGATAGCCATACGTGACCGTAGTACCGTCGGTAGACATCTGTCGACGACGAAATCGCACCTGAGGCTAAACGATACCTAGTCCTATATACAGTAATAGCCATTTGAACAAGCTACGGCACTGTATTTCGCAAACGGCGGCCATTATCTTCCGATTTGCTTGTTGTGGTAGATGTCACTTTATATTTTCAATATAAATATTGAAAATATAAAGTTAATCATATCGAGGTTTGTATAGTATATAACGTAAATGACCAATTTATGATCGTAAAATTCGCATATCTCGGCTCACAGGAAGGCTTTTCACATTTTGTGAAGTGATTCTTAACAACCGAACACAGAGCTTTCATTTCATCATCGAAGTATTACATTTCAAGATGTCCTTCTAATGCAAAAATCCAACTTTCCAAGCAAGTTTACTCGATTTTCGAGGACCAATTTATGATCACTTTTTTAACCTTGAACTGTGTATGCCTCCATGCATATAAATTGTGCGGAAAGGGTATTCATATTGGCCAGGTAAAGTATAAATTTACAAGGTTATGTATTTCAAGAATATTTGATGGGACAGTTCCAACACATGGTCCGGATAACCTGTTCCAATCGTTTCATTTTAGGACGGGTAAGCTGAGGTTAACGTTAACAGTAAGTACAGAACTGTTGTCTCGGTTGCTGAGTGCTTGTGGTGCGTACAGGTAGATGGGGAATACGATAGGTCTATGCCGGCTTCGACACCTGTGATTTCCCTGACAAACATGCATACTACAGTATCCATGACGAATTAATATGGTAGTTGTTACGATGGTTTAGGTACGACGTTTCTAGTAGTACTAGTAGTTAACGTGACTTATACTAGTTGTACGTGATGTCTGAGCTCATTTTTTAGTCTACGTAGTAGTAAGCAGTTGGTAACGTTGGACTTGCGATTAACATTGCAGATGAATTCAGAGCCCTATAAACTCTTGAGAGGTTCACTATGAGGTCATACAACGACCGATGATAGGTCACAATAAATAACAGTGCCAACATGGTGTCAACAGCTCCTTCATCCATTTGTGATCGGTCTGTGAATAAATCAAGCAGCTGAGTAAGCGCATCGACAGCGCGAGGATGAATTGCATCCTCCCGTCGTTGTTCTCCCTGTCATCGTTCTCCCCGTCGCCGTTCATGAGTCCCTTCGATGTACAAAACTAGTACTAGTACTACTACGATGTACTACTGTGAACTCGTGTAGTATCCATGAACGTTATCTCCAGCTGTTTTTCTGCATCATGTGGTTCTAGTATGCGCAAGACATCAACTTCAATTGCCGTCGAACCAACCACGATCTCCCGCAACTGCAAACTTCTTGGCGCACCCGAATACCTCCCTTTGAAATCCTCTTCATGTGCTCCTTCACTTTCATCTCACGTCACAGTGATCACGAAGGTTGCTCGTGCTCGACTAACTAAACGAAGCGTGTGTAACATGAAGAAAGTACCACGTAGTACTGTACATTTTGGCCACTAGGCCAACGAAATGTAGTACTCCGGAGTACTAATACGTAGTACTAACGTTAATAGTATTATAGCTTTGCATACAAATGACAAGTGTGCCTGGTGGCGCGAATTAAATTACGAGAATCGTTGGGCAATGAGTCAAAAAAGTTCTTAAGCAACATTGCTGTTGGACGTCATGCTTGTTCCATGCGATTAGTTTACCGCGGCCCTCCCACTGTCTGTACCTCATAGTGTCAATCCGGCTGTTATCCTCCCAAAAAAAATGTTGTTATCCTAGTGGTCAGCGCTGCTGTCGTCTGATCTACATACAGCGCTGTCCACAAGTCAACTAGCCACCAGCCAAGCACACCGCGACCCACCATGCAACTGGCTATTCCCCCCGCTATTACACTTCCTGCCCTGCGCATCCAGTCGTTCTACCCAGCGACATCATCCAAGTCGGCGCCACCCGTCGTCGCCATGGTTGCGTCACCGTGCTCGATCCTTCAATGCAACCACTTTGCGAAGATCCAAGGCCATTGCCTGGCCCACTATCGATCGATTCTTGTCCAACATCCGAACTCCCCGACCTTTGACACTACTCGCCCCAACATCAGCAGTAGCTATGACGACGCCATCACTAGCCCGTCGCGAACGTCCAACGACGCGAAGAAGTTGAAACTCAAAAACCGCAACCGCAAATGCCGCACTGATTCGTGTGTGTCGTACGCCCGCAGTGGGGGATACTGCACACGCCACGGCGGCGGGCGAAAGTGCAAAGTGGACGGATGTGGCACCGCGTCACAGACCGGCGGCTTCTGCAGACTCCACGGCGGCGGCTCGCGCTGTCGCATCGCCCACTGCGACCAGTTTGCTCGCATTCGCGGCCTGTGCCTGCACCACAACCGCGTCACCCCCGACGACAACAAATCGACAACATCGTCGCACGACGACCAAAACCACGTGTAAACGCTAGCTTTGGTGTTGTAGTTGTATTAATGAACGTTATTTATCACATCCCTCCCACCTATTTGTTGGTTCTATGACCAATACGTACATACCGTCGTCGTCCACAACGACAGGATTGTTGATTGAGATATGTTACACTATCGTTAACATGGCCACAACCACAGACAGGCATTGACCGGCTTTGTGACCACTTCAGTAGTATACACAGCATAACGTTGCCTTTCGTCGTACATACACAGGGGGGCCCCTGCTGGTTTGAATACATTTGTCGGGGGATACCCTTCGTACATCTTGCTGCTACAGTACATATTCGTCCAAGGGGTACTTCTGAAGTCCCATTTCTTCGACATTGATCCTAGTAGTGTACTACTTATAGATGCGCTCACTTTTCGTTGGCAAACATCAGACTGGGAATCCTTGCCCTCCAAAGACGTTCGTCGTGCTTGGAATACCATGGATCAACTGAAGACTTGTCGTTTCAGTGAAACCGCTTGTTGACGCATTGATGTGCCCTGACCACAGTGGGTGTCGCCATGACACAGTTGGATGACTAGTAGAGGATTCGGTTGAGGCTACATACAGTTAACACACGAATAAGTGTGAACATGGATAGGTTTGTCCGCAGATCTGTATTATCCTCTTACGCGCTACGATACGCCCCATCGAGTGTATGCCTCTGCCAGGTTTCAGACTTGTACTAGAAACCTGCCACGCCCTGCAAATCCTATGACTCACGTCGACACTTTTTAACGATTTACAAATTTTCGACGTGAAATTACTGGGGTGATCGCATACACAAACACACGGTGTGGATCAACCCATTTCGCATACACGTGGACTGCGATTTGTACTTCAAAGCCAGCTTGTTGACGTTACGGTACTGTACTAGAGTACAATGGCCATGTAAGGTGAATTTATGTAATTCCTGGCCACCAAAGGCCAATCACAATCATCCATGGACTATGATTGGACAAAATTACGTACTTTTGTATCAAATACTTGTAACATTTAATATTGAGCTTGACCGACATGGAATACAGTTTTTATATAAGTTACACTTCTAAATTTAATTACTTGAACACTTTATAAACATCATTATTAGAAGGTTCTGATCATTTCGTCACCCAAATCAGGCATACATTGTTCAAGTGAGTTACTGGCCGGGAATTAAATTCACCTAGGAAAATTTCAATTTTAGAAATTCGACGAGCCAATTGGCCATGCGATACAAATGATGGGACCTGCATATAATTATAAAGCTCATCACGATCTTCATAATGCATATTTTCGTAGCCTCATCGGATGAATGGGTGACGAGTTATGGACCTCAGAAAGTAGGCCAAGCTGGCCGGGAATTACACGAATCACCTTAAGAATAGGAATGTCCATCGATGCGTGTTGGAGCCTCACATCATACCTTGATCCTAACTCTATCCATACATAAAGCCCAACAACAGATTGCACGCGAGCATCGCAACCTCACGGCTGAACAAGGCGGGAGTAAAATACTGTGTAGTACTTCACTACTAGTACTACTGTAACGTTATACTATTCATAGTACTAGTAGTAAGTAGTATTTATGGATTTGCTCCGTGCGCCGGTCAAAATAGCTAGTACTACTAAGTCCTACGAAACCACCAATACTATTACTATTACTTCATTGTCGCATCTCCACAAGGACGCCATAAAACGAGCTGGCACTCTCATGGAAAACGTGTCCTGCCCTGTGTCGGTTCTCTTTGCTGCCCACCGCTTCCTCCAACAGTAGTGTATGAGGATTTAAACCAATGAAATGTACTCATTTTCGCATCAGCCAATCAGAATGAAATGGTGGAATTAATATGATAAAAGTTGATTTTCAAAAGAGGGAATTAATATGAAACAGAGGAAGTAATACGTAGTAATACTAACGTAACTAGTTACGTTAGTAATAGTATTGACTGTGAATACTGGTACTATTAATATTAATAGTAGTGTCGGCACAAATACACTAACTATTGTAGGGGTTTGTCTGGATCGAATACAAATCGTACTTCGAAGTATTATAAATATAAAATAACACTATATTCAATTCGAGAAAGCAAAACTACGGGCTTATATACAGAGAGGCGTTCGTGATTTAGCACCAATCAGATTCAAAAATACTTTACATGCGTTGAACCCTTGGAGAAAAGACACATTTGAAGCCAGTATTGAATAAAACTACGCGTTTAACTTCATAACTATATCTTGATTGAGAAATATAGTTCAGAAGTGACTAGGGTTAAATTAATCAATTCTAATTGGACAAAAAGGTCAATTTGAATTGATTAATTTAACCCTAATCATTTTCGAACTACATTTCTCACTTGGTATACCGGTATATTTGAAGCCGATTTACATGTCAAGTGTCGTGGTTAACAACTGCATTGAAAATGGATGAAAACTGATGTATTTCGAGCCACTTATGTCATGCCTGATCCAGACAGACCCCTTCAATAATGGTTATGGCAATCATACAGTACGTCAATCGAGAGTTTTAGGCCCAGAAACATGCAACACAAAGCAAGTCTAGTTATGGTGGGTATATCCATGTGGATCGATTGGCCGTGTTCCGAGCTAAAGTTCCTTGGTGGCGTCGTCAGCGACCGCAGGGACGACTGAGGCCGTCACGTGCTCGAGGTAGACCTGCGTGGCCGGATCCAACGGCAATGAGTGGGCCCACTGTAGCAGCCGGTGCAGCTCGTGGACGTCGGTCTTGTCCTGCTGGTGTCGCCGGCAGTGTTCCACCAGCAGTTTGAGCGTCTTGCCAAAAGGAACGACACCCGTCATGTTGTGCCAGTCGACAACGAACGACACGATGTCGCCCACGGACGCCGAGTCGGGTGCCTTGGCCTTGTAAAACTGCAGCGGATGGAATTCGGGCGTGGGAACGTCCACGTTCCACTCCGGGAGGCGTCGGCGCATGTGGTTGTACTTGACGTCAGCCATGAGTTGCTTCCGCGTCGACGGCGTTGCGTTGTTGAGAAGGTTGAGCTGAAATAGCACCAGACGATGCATTGTTAGCGGCGTGGGGGTCACCCCTTGGTTGTGCATACGTTGAAGCAGCTACACGTGATTTTGTAGTTAGTCTAGGACCGCTGCCCCGTACAATCAATTCCACTGATCGAGTCGGTCATTTCACACAGATGTATTTTGGCCAAAAACCAAAAGAATGTATCGTTTTGCCCAAACAAAACACACGGGCAAAACACCAAACACATGGGCAAAACACCACAACACATGGGCAAAACACCAACACACACTATATCACCAAGGAGGTAGGTGCACACAACGACGCTACCTACCTGCAACGGTTGGTCGAATCGTGTGCGGTCGTTGGACACCACGGCCATGATCAAGTCATCGTACTCGTCCACCCGACGCGGCTCGTTGGGAAATAGCGTTTCCTTTAGGTCGAGCACCATCGTGGCTTCGCTCACTCGGAAGAGCACAACGAGGGTGCGGAATGCATAATGCAACCCTTCCAGCACCTACACACCGGCTCTTTCAACAACAACCAAGCCCAACGCGGTTGCTCGTTATTACGTGGTCGTCGGCACTTGAGCATGTAGCCAGGACATCCACAAGCTGAAACACTCGATACACGAGCTCATCTTGGAACGGACCGCTCACGGGCACCCGTCGATCCAACCGACTCGCGGCCACAAAATACTGTTTCAGCTTGGCCACGTGCAACGGCACGAGCAACGAACTAGTACTACTACTAGTAGTAGTACTAGTACTACCGCGACGACGACTGGCCACATACGCGTCTTCAATGTCTTGCATGAGGCCATCCGCGGCGACCATGGCTTCGTGCGCGACGACCGCATGCGACTGCGTCGTTCGAGCTCCCGCCATTCGTTTGGAAATGAACCTAAAACAATCATGAGCCCATCCATGCATCCCCCCTTCCGTGCCAAGAATACCCATCTCTCACGCATAATACATATGACTACTTTGATACAGGTTCAATACCGAAGGAACACGGACGCCTTGTACATGTCGAACGTTGCCGCATCCTTCGCCACATCACTCTCGTTCTTGTCGGCATCCTTCTCGATCTTTTGCATGAGGTTGTTCAAGGGCACCCCCACAGATCGTTCAAGACGGCGCAACGCTTTGAGCCGTGGACTCGACAGCACAGACGACGTCTACAACCCCCAAGAGTCATGTCCTCCATCAGTTGGTTGTTGATCCAGGATTATAGACGAGACCAAGCCTACCTCGCGCACCACGGCCAACGTCGACTCGGGCACGTGAATCAAGCCATGGACCAACGCCGAAAACGCTTCGATGGCGGCTTCAAAGACTTGCAACGGCACGTCGGCGCTCCGTCCGGCGTATTCTTCTTGCAGCGTGTCCAATCGATCTAGCACAACGTCACCCAAGCCGCACATGGCGGGGGCACGCACGGACGCGACCGCGAGTTTGTCCATTCGTTCGGCTGAGATCGTTCGTTCGAGTAGTTTGATGTCCAGCGGAGGCAACGCCTCCACCATAGCTGCGTACAGGTCTTGGTAATTGGCCAAGGCAAACACCGACGTTGTGGACTCCATGTACCGCGAATGGATCGTTCGGATGATGGCGTCGTACGCGTGATAATGGAGGCTCTGAATGTCGGTGGGAAGCAGCGGCGGTTGGCGGCAGGCGTCCCCGAGAAGGCTCGCGGCGGCGCGACTCGCCTTGACCTTGCGTAGCACTTGAACGAGCGCACTTCCTTTAGCCTGAGCAAGCATCGAAATGTGGATTTGGATGCTCACTGGAATCTGTTGGCTTTGCATGTGACGAAGAAGCGCCTCCATGCTTTCGTAAGGCATGTTGGCACGACTCAGTGCTTGAAAGGCCACCGTGTACGCGTCCGCCACGGCGGTCGGCAACGCATCCTGTTCGACATTGGTCAACACACGCTGCAGCTGCGTCCAGATGCGATCTTGTTTCTTCTTCTGTGACAACGTTTCATACCCACCGACAGAGGGCGACCGACCCTGCGCTTGGATTTCAGACGCGACGACCCCGCGGCCGCGAGGCACGGCCATGAGCTGTCGAAGCTCCTCGACGGATGCCACAGATTCTCCATCTGCCGGACTCAAGATGCTCGATATTTCGTCGCGGTACCATGGCTTCGTGGAAGACGCCCGCAGAGACTGGCGATTCAAAGCAAACTGGGCAACCAGCGACCGAGCCATCGCTCGCGGTCGTGTCTGCATGATGCTGAGGTTGCGCACTTTACACCACTGGGTGGAATGCAAGGGTTTGATTGGCTAAATTTCATAGCAAATGGCTGACGAATGGCAAGGCGTAATCAGTGATTTAATAACCAATCGGATTGTAATAAGTTTTCTGTGCTGATTATTCGTAGAGTTGCAAATTTTCAACCAATTATCTGGGTACATTTGATTTTTCCAATTCAACTATCCAACCAATTACTGCTCATCGATAAAATGATTTTTGCCATTCAAAGTTCAAAAGTACGGTACATTTCGGTGGTATTTTGGTGGGCCATGTTGTTGCCTTTCAAACATCCTCCAATCAAACAATTGCATTCTCAACAACTACAAGTGATTGGTCGCATGAGTCACCATCAGGATTCAAGACCAGGCAAGTGACACAGGACATGGACAAGTGGCCATAGTACCTTGCCATCGCCACGAACTTATGTGGTAGTGCTACGTCTCTGTGACGCGTATCGGATAATGCCGTACATGGCAAAGCATGACCATGCATGGAAGTTACCGGTCGTTGTTCAGGCGTTTGCGACAACAAACCTGACTCATGACGAGAAATTCATGAATCTCATGCTGACGACGTCGGCCCAATGATATCATGTGCACTTTCAATCTTAGTCAATACAAACGATAAGATAGTTTCAAATGTTATGTTAAAAGGATTTGATACGACAAGAAATAGTTGCAATTAGCTCTGAGGTCGATATATGAGGTTTTTGTATGCAAATATCGAGAGTCACGTACACAGTACTTTCGATTGGATAAAAGCTGAGAGGGGCTAGAAGTGGGTGTGTGAGATGACGAAGGGCATAGCAACTACCAACATTTCACAACTCACTGTCAGTACGAACTTCTAGCGCGTGTGGTTGCGATGAAACGCTCGTTCACCGCAGTTGTGACGCTGGCGCTTCTTGCGTCCTTCTGCGCATGGTCAACGCTGGCATTGAATGTCAAGCTGTCTGGGGTCAACTACAACCCACGCAAAGGCGCAGACTGGGAGCCTTGGGAGCTCAAGTGCAAGTCGGCCGAGGAAGTGGAACTGGACATGCGGGCCATTTCACTCATCACGGACAACATCCGGCTATACAGCATGAACGACTGCAACCAAGTGGAGCTCGTGATGCCGTTGGCCAAAGCGGCCGGGCTCAAAGTGTGGCTGGGTATGTGGGTCGACCAGCACAACACAACGTTCTTTGCCGAACGGGATACCCTGAAGGCCCTGATTAAAAAAGGCGTGATTGACTCGTCCGTGACGGGGCTCCACGTGGGCAGCGAAGCGATCTATCGCAACGACGTAACAGTGTGGCAAGCCATCGACTACTTTTGGGAAATCAAAAACATCATCGTTAACGCCAACTTGTTGATCCCTGTGACGATTGCTGACGTCGGTGACGTCTACGCTGGCCACCCCGAGTTGTTTCACGTGGTACGAGTTCAATGTGTGGTCGTCGTCTATTCGTACTCTATCATCACGCACACCATGTGTGGGGACCATGTTTGTAGGTGGACGTGGTGTCGGCCAACTCGTTTCCTTTTTGGGAAAATAGATCTATCGACGAGTGCATCACGTACTTTTACAGGCGCATGGGCAATGTTATCGGCATGGCTCGTGTGTTCAACAAGCAGATCATCATCGGCGAGACGGGGTGGGCCACTGCCGGCTGGGCTTATCGCGCCGGCGTTGCTAGCCCCGAGAATGCCGCCGTACGTTTTAGAATCCGCATACCATACTATATTTGTTGTTTACTTTGATTACACCATTTGGCTCACTTGGTGGAATTTGTATGTAGCTGTGGCTGAATGACTTTCATGTGTTCGCGCAAGAATTTGGCTGGCCGTACTATTACTACGTGGCGTTTGATACAACCTGGCGACACAACGCCAACACCAACATCACCGAACCCGAAGTTGAGAGCTACTTTGGCTTGTTTGATGACAACCGCAACCTGAAACCGGCGTACGCAAACTTGAACATCAAAAAGCGCAAGCAGTATGGGTACCCCCCCATCCCAACGCGACCCGACGTGCCCACGCCGACGGAATCGACGTGGGATGTCGTGCAAAATGTGTTTGCCGCCGTTTTTACCGCCGTTGAAGGGTTGTGGTAAACAATGACATGTTAGCAACGACCAAGCAAAGCGACGATTTATAGACGAAGATCAATGCAAAATTATGTACTTGAAGTAATGTGTGTTGTTTTTGTAGCATACTCGTACTTGAGTACGTACTGTTGGACTGAAGTACTAACTACTACTACTACGTACAGTAGTAATAACGTTGGTACTACATTAGCAATGGAAACGTTCTCTCTGGAAAGGCGAAAAGTAGAGGACGATTTAGTGTGGGAGTGACAACATGACAAGTGGGTGCCGTACAGTAACGTTACTGTACATTGTTGTCGCTTTCGTCGACGGCGCACGAGTAAACCTGCGCTTTACTGATACTCCGTTACTACAGTGAGGAACGATGTGTCGTTCAATGCATTAACCCACTCGGATGGGACGGGTTACTTGCGCATGATAAATATTCTCATCGGCAGATTTACATAGTTTAACCGAGATATTTCTTATGTACAATAACGCTAACGTTATACTAGTAATAAGTTTAGTGTTGTGGAGTCGGTGAAAAGTTCCAGACCCCGTCGTTTTGAATCTTGCCGCCGAATCGAATCACGAATTGACGCTATTGGCTAATCCATTTTATGAGTGGATATGATTGGCTCTTACAGAAAGAACAAAGATATTCAACCAATCAGAAGGTCCAGAGTGATTGAATTCGAATACTACATACTATTAATACTGTAATAATAGTAGCGCGTACTATTCCATACTAGTAGTACTATTAAACAGTACTATTAATAGTAACGAATATGCATGAAGTACCGGATAGCGGATCTTATACGTAGTATAGTAAATTCACTGTCAACCAACACATTTTCGTCCGCCATTGCAATTCCAACTGCTCGGAGTACTAACGTTACACTGTAGCTGTAAGCTTACCGCATGTACTGCAGTTGGCTGGCTACCTTGGCTACTGTATTGGTACTCGAGTAATTCGATTTCAAAATGGACTGAGGCTGCCAATTGACTGATGAATCGACGAAGCAAAATCGACGCAGTAACCCAAAGTAGCCAATGAAATTTTCGAAAAAGTACCTTTCGACCAATCAAATTGCAGAGGTATCCAGTGGCATTATTGCCAAGCTTCTCCATTTCACAATGAGTTCCACATTGTATCTGACAGGATTACAGGGAGTATATTTAGTTCAAGTAAAACGTCGTCCCGACGATTTCAGGTATATTTGACGTATTTCGTCGAATCTACCGAAAATACAAAATTTAGCTTGAAAGCACAATACCATTTCTGTATAAATCGTCGGAGTTACTACTATTAATAGTACTAGTACTACTGTACGTACAGTCCTGTCGGATGCTTTTTCTCCACTGTAGAAGCCATACAACACAAGGTAACAAAACTGCATGAATGAATGGTTGACAGTAGTGAGGAACGACCGAATTTAACAGTACTACTAGTAGTAATGTTAAGTGCAGAATAAACACACGCCAAGAAGAATGCGGTACAGTGTCGTGCGAGGCCATACGTTACACAGTAACAGCATTGCCAGTCTCTTCCAAATCACATCGTCACTTTCAAGCCAGGTCGCACATTGAGATTCACCATGGCCCAAGTCATCACCATCACCACAGTCGTTGTCGTCGCCGCGATGGCCACGTTGACATCATCGTTGAATGTGAAACTGTCGGGCATCAACTACAACCCTCGCAAAGGGGCAGACTGGGAGCCACTCAAGTTGAAATGCAAGTCGGCGTCGGAAGTCGCCACCGACATGAAAATACTCGCGACGGTCACGTCCAACATTCGCTTGTACAGCATGGTCGATTGCAATCAAATGGAGTTGGTCGTGCCTGCGGCCAAGGCGGCCGGGCTGACGGTGTGGGCTGGCATTTGGGTGGACAAGAACGCAGCCACGTACGCGGCCGAGCGCGATGCGTTCGCCGCGTTGATCAAGAAAGGTGTCATTGATGCCACCGTCATCGGGCTGCATGTGGGCAGCGAGGCGATCTACCGAAAGGAGGTGACCGCCGACGAAGCCATCAAAAACTTCAAAGAGGTCAAGGCGCTGGTCACGGCTGCGGGACTCAAGTTCCCCGTTACGATTGCAGACATTGGCGACGTTTACGTGGCCAACCCGCAGTTGTTTGCTGCGGTACAGAGTTGCTTGAACTAACCAACCAAGTCCTGAATCAACTCGGTTGTAGGTGGACATTGTGTCGGCGAACGCATTTCCATTCTGGGAAGCCAAGCCGATTGAAGGTTGCATCGAGTACTTTTACTCGCGCATGGAACCGCTGATCAAGTTGGCGACAGACAATGGCAAGAAGATCATGATTGGCGAAACGGGCTGGGCCACGCAAGGCAAAGCCGACGGCGCTAGCGTTGCCTCCCCTGAGAATGCCGTGGTAAGGAATCCGTCGATTCTGGAGTTAGTAGTACCTTACAGTTGGTGGTATTTGCGTGATGACTTTTCACTCGTGCCTATTGATTGTTGGGCGATGACGGTCCATTCCCATGGATGCTTGTACTGTGTATACGTATACTAGTAAATGTGGTTGAGTTTGATTTGTGGTCGTTCGTTGCGCTTTCACGTTGGCACAACAGGGTGTCGATAAACGTACTGTAGTATGTTTGGCATAGATTCTACTCTATATTTTCAATTCCTACTGGCACACTTGCAACGTTCCGTGACCTTTTTTGTATATTTCTACGTATGTGCAACTTGTTTCGAAGGTTGCGTCGTGCAGTACACTGTACATATGTAACGTTAGCTGTATGTAAACCACAAAGGCCATATATATCGTTAAGGTTGTGGATAAACCTGTAGACGTGGTTCAATGACTTCCATGTGCTCGCAACGGACCTCAAGTGGAGCTATTACTATTACACGTCGTTTGACACGACCTGGCGCCACAACCCCGCGGTCAATACGTCGGACCCCGAAGTGGAAAACTACTTTGGCATTTTCGACGTCAAGGGTGTGCTCAAGCCTGCGTTTGCCGCTTTAAAGGTGGCCAAGCGTGTCAACATCGACGTCTCCCCCACAACAACGACCCCTGCCGCCTCCGAAAAGAACGGCAAGCCCGTCGCGACCACTGCGTCGCCTAGCGCCATAATCTCGACTGGGGGTGCCACCTCCAAACCCAACACGAACACAGCTACGGCTACATCTGCTGCTCCGCTGGTGACGACTGCGATCATGTCCGCCGTCGTGATGGTGCTCACGATTGCGGCGTCGATGTGATCATACGAAAAACAATACAGTGTTGCGTAACGTTATAGGACTGGAACTCCATCGCAAGTCAGTAATTGCTGTACTCGGTACCTCTACTGTTAGCACTACCGAAAAATAGACTTGATGATAATATGGTTTCGTCCACGTATATTTTGTCGAAAACTGAAATGGAACGATGGTTGGTTGAATTGTACTTCAGAAGTATAATTCAACCAACCATCGTTCCATTTCAGTTTTCGACAAAATATTTCGCCCAACAGGTGATCAGTTTCGCCTAATAAACGATATAGGACACATGTAATGCGATGCTTGCCACTTTTCCGCATGTTCGAGAAAAATTCCCTGATTAGATTTCTCCCGAAATACTGTTTCAATGGATGACTGCCAAATATCTCGCAAGTGCCTCTCGCAAACAAATTTGCGAGTCCGGATAACGTGTATTTAATGAGGGAATTATCCCATCCGGATACACCTTTTCGTGTAACCAGTAAGAGGGCAGATAGTCCGAGCATACAAAGTTCCATATAAACACTCAAATTGCAGTGTTTTCTGAGAAAACAACAGTGGAACTGTTTTACAGTTAATGAGGAATTCTAGCGTGTTCGACTCATGACGACAATCCTGAGAAGTGACGAGTTGTGATTGCAACCTGGCTTGCAGCCACCGATGCATGTTTCTACAGTTTTGTCTAATGTGACATATTACCTACCGGTATACTGTTTGCCTAAACTCGAAATCGTCACGGACCACTTCGTTGTTTCAGACAGCAGGTCCGCCGCGCATTGCGCATTGGGCTCCTCTGACATGTGCACCAGTGACATTCTTGAGAGGAGCCCAATGCACGGCGGATGGTGCACACAAGCGACGACAGTAAAGGAATACAGACATACCAGAGGCACTTGCAAGGACAGTAGGGTTCGACAGGTACTTACCACGTGTTGTACAAGACGTCGACGCTCGGATGAGTTGGCGCAGTGCTGGCTGCTCCATTCTGAATGAAGTGTTTATGGAATCTATTTCGATTTCAAGTAAATCGCAGGTGGTGGATACTTGTCTAAATCATAGATACTTGACGCATTGTGCTTTCGAGCTAACAGTAAACTTGGTATTTTCGGTAGATTCGAAGAACGACGTCAAATCCACCTGATATCGTCGAGACGTCATTTTACTTGAACTAACAGCAGGTCAACTCAACAGCCACACAAACGACTAACAAGCCGCTCCATTAAATGTACTCACTGTGACTCCGATACAAAGGTTTTTTTCGAAAATTTCATTGGATGACTGCCAAATATCTCGCAAACAAAGTTTCTTCCGGTTGAATCTGAGATATTTTTGAAATAGAACCACGCTCGCATTTTGTGAAGGCGAAAAAATCGTCTTCGCAAACATTGCATTTGCGAGCGAACCTCTCGCATCGACACTGTAAAATTTGATATGATCGAAATACATTTTCAAAGGCTTTGGCATCGTGCACAAATTTTCTCGCAATCTCACCGGGTAACGAAGGCAGGTCGAGCCAAGTCGTGGAGTGCCTCGATTGCCACCCATCGACGTCGGTTAAAAAAATACACGTTATCCGGACTCGCAAATTTGTTTGCGAGAGGCACTTGCGAGATATTTGGCAGTCATCCATTGGCTACTTTGTTCCGTCCATTACTGCGTCGATTTATCGAAATACAGTAGATGGAACATCATTTGAAATATATTGAACAACATGTAAAATATACCGGTTGTGGGGTGACATATACCGGGCATTAGTCGAAATAGAATTTAACGAAGTTATTAGGCCGAAATATATTGGATGCTTGGCGAACAAAACGCGCATGGCGTGAATGTGCGTCGGACGAAATATACCGGAAATAACCTGAACTTAAACGAAAAATGGTGTAGTAAGCATGACGTTGAAAGGATGCATGTTTCACGAGTAACGTTATACACAAAAGGCTGAATTATTATCGCAATGTTATTCAGCCAATCAAACAATTCAATCGTAAACACCAAAACCTTGCCGGTATCCCATTTGCAACAGCGACATTACTTTTGTCGCAACTCAATGAACTTTGGACCTACCCCTCCACCAGACGGAGGCGGGCGACGAGTTCAACCATTTTCCAATCTCAACCCAACCAAGATGAAGGCAGCAACCATCGTCGTGGCATCGTTGGCCGCGGCGGCCCATGCATTGGACGTCCAGCTTTCGGGTATCAACTACAACCCTCGCAAAGGCGCGGACTGGAAACCATTCGAAGAGCGGTGCAAGTCGGACGATGAGGTCAGCGCAGACCTGAAGACGTTGTCGGCGATCACGTCCAATATCCGCCTGTACAGCATGACCGATTGCAATCAAATGGAAATCGTGATTCCTGCTGCCAAAAAAGCGGGGTTGACGATTTGGGCAGGCATGTGGATCGGCAAGGACGGGGCTAACTTCGAGAACGAAAAGGCCAAACTTGCCAGTTTGATCGACAAGAAACTCATCGACAATTCGGTCGTCGGACTTCACGTGGGCAGCGAGGCCGTGTACCGCAAAGACTTGACCACCAAGCAGGTACCACCACTGGTGACGTCATGTGTGGTTGCCTAACTGGCACGAGTAGGCCATTGCGTACTTGGAAGAAGTCAAGGCGCTGGTCGTGAAAGCTGGCCTGACGTTCCCCGTGACGATTGCGGACATTGGCGACACGTACATATGGAACCCTGATCTGGCGGCGGCGGTGGACATCATTGCCATCAACCAGTTCCCGTTCTGGGAGGGACGAGCCGTGGACGGTGCGATTGAGTTCATGGCAGAACGCCTCGCTCCGTTGGTCAAGTTGGCCAAGGAAAACAACAAGGAGATCGTTATCGGCGAAACTGGGTGGGCCACGGCGGGCAAGGCCAAAGCAGCGGGCGAAGCCAGCCCTGAAAACGCCGCGGTACGTTCAACAGCGCTACAAGTTGTGTGTCTCGTTCAGTGTATTCGTTGATTGTGCATTTCTTGAGGGCATCGTCCAATTACATGTTCTATATATATATATATATACATATGTGTATGTGCGTTGAGCTGTATGGTCGTACAGTTTTTGATTGTGATTTCCTAGTACAGTATAGCTAGGATCAATACAATCATCGATATCAGCTACGAATTATAATATGTGCACTTTGCCTTTGGATCGACATCAGTTCGTGTGTTATTTGTTCATGGGTTGACCATTTGTGTTGGCGTTGCACCGATGTTGAAGGAACGTTGGGTACATGTATGACGCGGCAAATAAATCCCCGTGTTTGTGTAGGCCTGGCTAAACGACTTTCACATTTACGCGACCGAGCAAAAATGGCCGTATTACTACTTTACGTCGTTTGATACACCGTGGAAGCACAACGCAGACGACCCAGAGTCGGAAGCCGAGGTAGAAAATCACTTTGGCTTATTCGACGCCGTCACGCGCCAACTCAAGCCCGCCTACGCCAACTTGAAAGTGCAAAAACGATCAGTGATCACCAACGACGCGGACACCTCCAAGCCCACGACCACGCCCTTGAACGCCACACCCGAACCTGTTGTCGACGGCACGACGGACGCGACGCCTGCCCCCGCCGCCACCGACAAGGCTGGCACGCCGGTCACCACATCGGCGCCCTCGTCTGGTTCCGACGGAAGCACCAGCACCACGGCAGCCCCCGATGCGACAACTTCGACCTCTGAGCCTAAAACTGCAGATGACAACTCCACGACTTCTGTGCCTGCAGCCCCAGCTGGCAACTCCACGACCTCTGTGCCCACAACCAACGCGGCGGGAACGATGTCCATGTCTACCGTCGTGGGTCTCACGATCATGGCTACTTTCGTGGCGACAACATTTGGCATGTAGTTTCGTTCGTGAAACATCGTAGTAGTTGGATGATGCCAGTCCAAAGTAACATTCATTGCAGCTTGAACAAAAACAACGTATACGTATAGTACTAAAGTAGTAAGTACTACGTAATAGTATATTTTGCGTTGAGTTGCCAATGTGGGAACAAGGCGGTGTGCAAACCTTGAGTTGCCCCGAACAGCAACATAAGAATAGTGTAGGGCTACAGTAAGTAATCTCTGAATTCCCTTTCGCATTACTATAGAGTATTGTCGGGAATTCATATGTAGGCGCGGAAACCAACCACCCTGTCGCAGCAGCATCGAGAAAACATTTCGCACGAAGTTCACGTGTCACTTTTCAAAATGGTTTTATATTTTGTACGCCGATGTGTCGTTAACCATGAGCCTTGCGAATGGCAATGGCAATCGCACACGATAAAATGATCGCCGCGCCCACAAAGCTCCACACGCTGATCTGTTCGTGCAGGAGGGTCACGTCCCATACAAACACAAACACAATGTCCAAGTAGCGCATCACGGACGCAATGCCGACGTTTTCCAGCTGAAACCCCTTGGTCATGCACAATTGGCCCAAAAAGCCAAACACACCCGTGCTCACGCACAGCCACCACACGTTCAACGGCAATTCCAGTGTCAAGCCCTAGCCATATTTATATATATATATATATATATATATATCCGTCAATGTATATATTGGCGTGAAGGGGCAATAGTTGGGCAGACGAACCCCTTCAAATGCAAAGATCCACGCCACTGACAACACCGAACACGCCAGCATGAAGTAGTGAATCACGACAATGAAGTTGAGCGACTTGATGTGTCGAATGGCGACGTACGCCGACGCCTGGCACGCCGCCGACGCCAGCCCCCCGAGAACGGCAAACTTCGACCCCTGCACGACTTTTTTATTCGCCATGTAGTCCACAGCTTCGTCTCCAAAGAGGAACACCGGGCGAGCCACAAACACCACACCACTGAAGCAAAAAATCGCTAGCGCAAAATCCACGGGTTTGATGTGCTCGCCAAGGACAATTGAGCCCTAGAGTAGCCATCCCACGTAAGCGAAAAAGAGGTGCGTTTGGGTTTTCATTACCAGCAAGAAGGCCATGACCGGGCTGGTGAAAACGATACAACTGGCGTCGGCCAACACCATTTGCGACATGGTCCAAAATGTCAGCGACATGGAACAGAAGCCGACGACGCAACGAAACGCTAGTGGTGGCATGAATTCGCTCGGTACGTGCAAATTGGTTCGCGTGGCTAGCACCAAGATCTGCACATGCCGTTAGATGTTGAACTGCTGGGAAACATCAACGGCGTACGAGGTTGAAAATCCAAGCGACGATCGCACGCCAAAACAACGTCTCCATCGATGACATGTACGAAGACTCATATCTATACACCATTGCATGAGTATGTATGTATGTACAAGCGAAGGCTAGGAGCTTACTTGATAGCCGCAGACATGAGGCTAAACGTAAAGGCTGACATGGCCACCAACCCCAAACCAAGGAGACGGTGCCTTTGCGGAGGCAGGACGTCTGATGCACTCGCAACATTAACGGAGCCATCCTCAGCGTGCTTGGTAACTAGCGGCAATGATTCGTGTGTCATGGAGCGTCGACTTGCTGGAATTCTAAGAGAGTTGGTGGCTTGCCGTCGTGTCAGCAAACTGTCCATGACGTTCACCTTGACCTTTATTGGTGGGCTCAAATGTTCATCCACCAATCAGAATTCGAAGAGAATCACGCAAGGTGTCAACGTTGAAATATGTCACCATTTACGGTTAGATATTTGTTTTCACGTAATTTCGCGTCAAACTCTTGGAGATATAGATTCTGAATAAGTCACCATCAATGTATTTCGACTTGTTTGGTGGGCACCATTCCGGCGATGATGATTAAACACTTGATCTCTACTGTTTTACAGTAAGTACAACGTTGGAACAACCACTAAATTTTATTTTCTAGTTCTTTCGAGTTGCGCCAGCCACAAATTTGAAAAAATTCACGGATGGCATTGATGTAGCAGTACAGCAAAGTGAGCGATACACGATGGCCACGACGCTCACGAGAACTGTACTGTAGAGTGCACATGCTCACCAAGGTATTCCCGAGCATTACAGTAACGTTAGACAGATTTCGAACACAACATTTGGGGTGACTTTTGAGATCTGTACGAATCTCCAACTCAAAAGCTATAAATCGATTGTGTAGGCATGGGTGAAATAGGACTGTAGATTCAGTGCTTGAATCTCCATATTTTTAATAATGGTATTGATTTGACATGTCAGATTGGAATAATTCGGAGATTACAGTATATTTCAAAACGAGTTAGGTTAATTAAGTCGTAATTATGCCTCAAATATAGTACATACATTTTATATATTTTCCGAAACCAATAATTTAATGAGCAAATATTTAATCGTGGACCTCAATACCAATAATTGTCGATTAGTTTTTGTACGCACCTCGATGAAACAAATCATCCTTACGAAGGGACGCTCAGTGCCCATATCACATCTCCAATAACGGCAACGCTAAATTATTGTTTTGCTCCGTTCATCCAAACACGACCAAAAAAGTCCTCCGGATACCCAACCGGAGGTATTTTGACAACACAATCTACCAGATTTGCTACGTGTCACAAGTTTTAGACAGTAACAGTTCTGAGTCGACATTTACGATTTCGCAGTTTACATTACTTATGAATTATTGTGGTAGGACAGAAATATGTATATTGAAATTATACATAACGTTATTGACATTCAAGCATATCGCTATTAGTTAATCGACACAGGCCTGCCTGTACAAGGAGGCTCGGTGTCGAGGGTTGAAGGGTGCTGACAATCGTGGTTTGTTTGACCACTTATGGGTTGGATTGGTGGTGGTTGGCTGGGAGCATCGTGTGGGTAGTCGTGGACCGCTGAGCGCACTTGAGGCACGCTTGGATAGCCACCATCATGCCGTTGATGTTGAGTTGCCACCACAGGTTGCACCCCGTACACAGTACCTACACACACCGCACCAGGCACGATACAAAGATCATTTGCACTGCAATGTCATCCGCTAAGTTCATTTTTCTGTCTCACTCCACCACCAGAACGCATCAACAACGTCAACTTACTTGGCCGCATTTGCAGCAAAACGACTTTTTGCGAAAGAGACGGAACGGTTTGGTGCACAAAAAGCAATATCGAAACGAGTCCAACGACGCCCCAGGGGCCATGGGCACTTTGGTGAGAAATTGTCCTTGGCGCAACCGGTTCTCCCGCAGGCACCGGTCGATCGTGATGAGGTTCCGGCACCGCTTCTTGTTGGCCATGTCCTCGATCCATATCGGAACCACAGCACCGTAGTCGACGTGGCTGATGTAGCTGAGCTCGACGTAGCCGCGACGGGTGGACTCTAAAAAGAGGTGACCGGAGCCGTACTGGTGCGCACGAACCATGCCAGGGAAGGGAGGGCACCCTTCGACTTCGACGGAAATGAGGCTGCGACACCACCCCCGCCTCGATTTGTCTTGAAAAGGCGACCGACACTACCGTACGTACACAAGAATCAGTCGTCACCAGAACTTGTCACACATCACGAATGAGCTGGCTACGTAATCTAGCCGGCTAGCTCGAGACTGGCTAACTCAACCCTATGCTAGTTCAAAGATAGCTAGCTCAGAACTGTGTAGCCCAAGACTGGCTACAGTTAGCCCGTCATCAAAACACATCCAGACCATGAAGGACACTGGACACATAAATAAGTGTCCACACACGTACAAACTTGTACATACCTCAAGCATGACCGAGTCTCGATCGGCTACAAACGGGGGACTCTTCATGGCGGCGTAAATGATGCCGACATTGTTGATCGTGCTGGTTTCGTGCGGCGGGTTGAAGTCGTAGAGCGTGGCCACGTCCAGCAAGTCCTTGCCCACTCGGCGCTTGCAATCCTTGATGAGCTCGGTCGTGTGGGTCTGGAATACGTCGACGACTTCGTCCAGCGTGCCCACGACCGTCGACCGTGAAATGTACATGGACAGTCCGCGCAACCGGTCGGTGGCTTTGTAGATCTTGAGCTCCGTTTCGTCGGACAAGAGGACCCACGCCACGGACCCCCCTCGCAACACAGCCGTGGAAACCTACCAGACAGTTGACATTGTATTTCTATAGCCATGATATGATTCAATGGACATACCAAGCTTGTGACGTTATCTTTGGCCTGGGCCTTGAACTTGTTGGTCTCGCCAACAGACAGCGTTGGACACTGGAAGTAGTCGATCGGAAGTGGGAACTTCATGGGCAATTTCAAAGTGATCTGTTCGTTGTGCTGTATGTTTGTGGGCGGGCTGGTGTCGGACGAGAGGCTCCACGCATTGAGGGGTACTTTGTTGAGATTGAACGTGGGACCATACAAGATGAACAGTACTGTACAAGATGAACAGTATGTACTGTAGTTGCGGAGCGTCACACCAACGATTTGTTCCGAGCTACGGTGGCGACATTGAAGTGCAATATCAAGGAGAGCTACCGTTACGTCGTTCAAATGGAAAGGGAATAGTCACCTGCGAGAACGAATGTCGTTGGCAGATCGTCCTCGTCGATAGTTCCAGCTGAGGGAGGACACATCAAGGATTCTACTACACACGCAATTGTGTTGATACTGCCTTTGGACTGAAGTGGAGAAGTCCGCAGACGAGGGATACGATACCAGGTACAACTATCGAAAGTTACATGTGTATGTATTCGACTTACAGTAATGTTGTAATATTGTTGGAAGCTTTTGGGGGCTGCTCCAACGACGAAAGGTCGTCAACATCACCTTGATAGTGGCACGCATTCGGTCCAAAGTTATTCTTCACCTAATAAGTGTACTTTGTGGAGAGCACATGTACCATGACAAGTGAAGCCAGAAAATACCAAGTCGAGAAGACATTACAGAGACGACGACCCTAGTTACGATCGCGTTTGCCGCCCTTTTTTCCAGTGCTCACAAGGTCAGTTGATTCTTTCTGACGTTATTCAATTGAAGGGAGCAAGTACACTCAAATGTTACTTCGAAGTATAAGAGACGTGGGCGGCTTGCAATACAGTGAAGTTGAGAAATACTCGCACCAGATGTTTTTGGCTTATATATGAGTTTGTATACAGATCGAATCTGACACTAGACCTTTATTTTTTTGTTGGTGACATGATTGAAGCAATGACGTCATATTTTGGTTGCTCTGGTTGGCGCAACGAAGTATAAAATAGGCAGTAAATTATCTCACAATCACTAAATTTAGTATTACTAATCATTTCTAGGAGTACTAACAGTGTAAAACAAGTTGTGGTGCGTCCCAACAAATGTCCCGACAAGCCCCGACAAGCCCCGACAAATGTCCCGACAAGTCATTAAAAATACAATAGTACAAACGGATGAGTTTCAAATGTATTACAATTCAAATATGCGAGGGAGGGCCTTTTCAAACGAGCTTCTGACCGTCGAGGCACTGATTGATTCCCAAGCGGCGATGGTTCGTTCAACCATTTTCAGGCGCTTTTCCGACGCCGTCACCACCGGCGTTTCCAACAACCATTTGGAGCGCAGTTTCGCTTTCAATGGTCCCATCACACCAACATCCAATGGTTAACAATGACTGGTTGCATTCGGTGGCAGCGGCTCCAAGAAGCAAAACAACTCTTCATCCACTGTTTTGTACGACATCGCAGATACGTGCGATGCTAAGTTGTCGACAAGAATCACAGACGGACCAATCAGCTCGAACTTCAACAGCTCTTGTAGGTAGAACACCCACACGCTTTCATCCATCCAAGCCTTCTCTTGAACAGCATAGACGTGGCCTTCTGGAAACGTTGGTAGCTCGTCAATTTCGATGGATCCACCAGGAGTTCCGCGCAGGATGAAAAGTATTGGAAGTTTCGTCCCTAAAACAGACCATCAGATGAGCAAAATGATCAGTCTTACATACCGCAGCACAAATCGGCATGACTGCATATCATAAAACACAGCCGTCTCATCTACATTCACAATATCTCGTAGGGGTTGCGCGTCATGTTTGACCCAAAACGACGCCGCAAAGGTCGATCGGACTTGTTCCAGCTCCAACAGCTTGAGCTTCGAGAAGCATGGTATCCGTTGGCTGAATCCGTGTCGATGTGCAAATTGTTGTCACAGTCCAAGCAGGGCATGGTAAGCGTGAATGTCCGATGTCTTGGTTGACATGTACCCTTCAAGCCATTTATGCTGGTGTTTCTTGATCCATGTAACCAAGTGAGTGGTGGTGAGAAAGTGGCTTTCATGCCTCACCGCTTGCATGAACGCCAGGAGTTCCGAACCAAACAGGATCGACGATGGTCGACCTTGCCCACCAAGCGTCGGACGCTTCTTGTTTCGGATTGTGTTGAGGTACAGATCCCGCTTTTTCCACCATGTCTGCCAGGTGGACCTGGGGATCCCTTCGGAGTAGCAGAAGTCAGTTGGATTCATACCACTGGATCCGAATGCAATGAAGAGCTGGAGTCTTGCCTCGATTGTGTACCGCCTGTGGACTCGCTGTGGGAGGATCGTCGTGCGCATTTGAAATTTTAAATGCGGGTGTTTCAACAAGCAACCAATTAGAGGGCATTTTAATGTTTATAATATTTTCTTCCAATCAAGTATTGGTGTGTGTTTTTGCATATAAGTTTAGCAAGAGTCTGGTCTCCTCAGAAGAATAGTATTTTTCAAACCATATGCTGCGAGTTTTTTCCAACTTCATTGTATCATGAAGCTGAACACAGTCGTTACGCTGAACCAATCAATATGTAGCAGAATCGTTCATAACTTTGATACTTTAGGGTGCGTCTGGTAACATTTCAAAAATATTTTTCCATTTTCTCGGAAAATGGGATTAACCCAAAATGCCGTTTTCAAAATGGAGGTAAAAGGTCCATTTTGTAATATGGCGTTTTGGACCTCTTCAACGAGTAAATCCCACGTGGATTTATTGGATTTGGGTCCAGCAAGACATGTTTCAATTTTGATCAGATTTGTTGAATTCGGCCCCAAAATGGCGTTTTGGGCCTGAATATTGCAATATTTCCGGTTACCAGACGCACCCTTATTTATTCTGCTTCCATAGATGAGCCATTCAAAACGCCATTGATGAGGTACAGCAAGTAACTTACTGTGCGCTCAAAGTTAGCTACTGTAAAGCTTACGCGCCATGCATTGGACTTCTCAATGTTCCTTGGATGCTTGAACTACACCTAACGTTATAACGTGAACGGTCTATTCGATCAAATGCGGATAGATGAAATATCTTAATATGTCAGTATAAACGATTGTCAAGGTATTCATTTATCCGGATAATAACATCCGCAACATTTTCGAACGACGTGCATGATGGAGTGGCTGGTGCGTCATGGCGTCGAGAAGGGCTGTACGTGTGCCTTGCTCTTCTCCATGTGTGTCCTCACGAGCGTCGTTGCCCAGTACTGCGAGTTTCACTTCCTCCGGTTCGCAAAGCAGTCTCCCTACGTTCCCGAGGCCTTCAAGGCACTCACGGCCGACGACCAGCGGTTTGCGTTCTATCAAGTGGTTGTGCTAGCAGCGATTGGCGTGTGGAGCACGACGGTGTTCGTCGTACATGTGGGTGATCTGCCCAGTCGAAGTGTGCTTGGCATAGTCTACTCGTGCTTCACGTGCGGGCTCTTTGGCCTGGCCCACTATTTCAAGCAAAACGGCCTCGTCGAGGGCAGCACCGCCGCGTCGTCGCGCTCCACGTAACCCCCCATCTCCACATTCCGGTCCCCTTAACCATCCCTCCCACGAATCAATAAATTATACCCTTCGTTTTATTCTTCAAGGGTCGGCATTTCGGCATGTCTACTATCTACCACCTCGCCTCGACAGCATTCCATCACACGCTTGCTCGTCTCGCCGTTAGCCCTCTAGTTGATCTCGCAATTGCTTGAAAAATGACAAGTCGCCTTCTACTTCCGCCTACCACACACACACACATACCAGCACCCCATCATATCATCTCCATCTATCTTTCGATCTCATCGTACCAAGGAAGAACGACCAGCAGCACGGCCATGCGACGGATGCAACGGCGGCGCTTGCTTGAGTTCATGCAAGAAGGCACTGACAGTCATGACGTCGTGGCCACTACCTGTCGTCGACGACAGGGACGACGATGACGTGGCAAATGGTAGGCACAGCTGGTCGTCCACAAGTCCGGACGAGCTGTCCATGTCGGTGCCACCACTTGCACGACCTTGGGAGCTCAACCCAAACACAGTCTCCCCCGAGCTCCCGCCGCCTACAAGACCCCACGCCAGTAGGCCTCCATCCAATGAAAGTCTCCTTCTTCGTTGATGGAGCCCGTCCCCCGTGTCTACATGATGACCACACACACAAACGTCATTATCCCCAACCAAGTCCACATGTCCAACCTTTCCACGTGATCAGAGGCGGCGGCGTTGCACTAGTGAGGGGGGGGGACGTCGACGTGAGCTCCCCAGAGTACCCCCGAAACGGAGGGCTTTGCGATACCCCAAACAAGTTGGGGGATTTCACCTGGTGGCTGCTGCCATGTGTCGACGATACGCCGGGGACTGAAAACGGCGGCGAGCTCGGATGTACCCGCCGGCCTCCGCTATCGACGCTGCCTTGGCTATTGTTGCTTCCAACGCTGAATCGAACGTCGTTGGACACCGACGATGACGGCATCAAACACGGGGAAGGCATTGCTTTTGGCATTTGAGGTCGAGGGCTGGGTCGAGGGAGCGGCGCCGAGTTTGGGTGTCGGAGCAGCGGCGAGAAATAGGCCGGAGACGGCTGTTCGAGTGGAGAGTGGAAGTGTCGGGGGCTGGTGTCTGCCGGGCGAGGGTGATGGGCGGCGACAGCGCAGCCGTAGGGAGCCGCCGCGAGGGGGAAAGGCGCCGGTCGGTGGTGGTGCGGCGACGTTGTAGCCGCCGCTGCATGTGGGTGGTGGTGGTGGTGGCTACAGCAACGACATCTTGTGACACATCAAGTTGCTACACCACATCGTGTACCGTTGCGGAAAGTCCGAAGCGACAGCATCCAGCGAGTGTGCATGGGCGTACACTACCGGGCTACGAAGATGATGCGGGGCTGCTGCATGGGACGAAGAAGAAGGGGGCGTGTAAATCGACGGGTGGTGGTTCGAGTGAGCTCGAGCGATGCCACCGTGATGCAGTAGCGGCGACGACGAGGATGCGATCGCAGCGGCGTTGGCGCTATGCGGAATCCGCATGGGCTGCGACGTGATGCGATATTGCGGCGGCGGCGGCAATGTCAAGTCGAGCGACATGGCCCGACGAGATAAAGCAGGTGAATGCCGGGGATGATGATAGCCGGAAGTGAGGGCTCCTTCCGACTCGACCGAGTGTCGGCTGGTTTCGTGGTGGTCGATTCGAGATGATGCAGGTCCGTCTACAGGTCCCAGTTAGAGCCCCATATCCAAAAAACCGATATGTGACACTGCTACCTTGGAGAGTGTTGGGGACGTCGTGCACGATTTGCATGGGCGACGATCGACCGAGGGGGGTCTGCGACACTGCGGGAATGGGCGACATGTGAGATACAGGCGGCGCGGAAGGCTGGAGATGGGGGCTGGAGGTAGGGGTCGTGTGCGCGGACGTTGGCACGTAGTCTTGGATGATCGCGTGCGTCAGCGTAGACGACATTTGAAGCGACGTGCGGGGGTGGTCGTCCTCATCGTCGTCGTTGGCGTCGCCCGAATCATGATGATGGGCGCCATGTTGTTGCAACGACGAAGGGGTCGAAGAAGGTTCGAGCCGAGGCATGCGTTGGATGGTGCTGAGTAGATCGTCGTTGCGCTTGCGGTACAACACGCTCAGTTGGAGCGTGCCAAAGGGCGTATCGATCGGGATGAAACTGTAGCGTTGCTTGGGTTGGTCTGACTCGAACTGCCGTTGCATGGCGTGGTCGGAGGAAGCGACCTCGAATTCCAGGCCCGCGACGGGATGCCCGAGGTCTTCCTGCTGGGCTTTGAGCCGATCGCTGACAGGAAACGCGGGAAGGATCCGCGCCAAGCAATACACGGATCGAAGCAAGATGCCAATGCGACGACACACTTCACGCAGCTGGTTGATCACGTCGAGTGGCGAATGGGATTGCATGCCGTTCGTGTATGAGATTTGCCACCGCTCCAGCAACATGGACCCCATGGCGATGTCCAACACAACGGGTTCGTTCACGTTGTCACGGCATGGACGCATGAGGTCTCGCACATGTGGCAATTCCTGAATGTCGAGATTGAACTAGGGTCACGAGTGCGTGAGGATTAGACTGGTCAACGGAGGAGGACGAGCGCATCGTACCCGTGCCCGCCGCGGTGTAGATGGCTGAAAGTACGCTCGACTAAGCAGCACTACTTCAACCGTCTTGTACAGGAATTCTAGCACGACTTGGTCGGTTTTCTTCTTGCCTGTCGACATCATCGTGTTGGACCCTCCTGCAGAACTGGGAGGTCCATGGCTCGAGAAGTGATCTTGGGAAGACGACGAGCGGCGGTCTGACGAGTAGGCTCCGCCGCCGCTACCACTCGTTGACACGCCGCTCTTATCGAGCTGAATCGATTGCATCATCGTCGTTCCCTCGTCGGATCTTGGAAGAGAAGCAGCAGGTGTTCTTTCAGGCAATATCCGAATTCAAGCTGTAAATAGGATTAACACCTTGGGGTAACAGTTACTTACTGTTAGTTGAACTAAAATAGGTTAGGGTTGTTGGCAGGTTAATTTTCACTTCAAAGTAGAAAATAGAAACGAGGTGGAGTACATTAATCTAGGCACTAATTACCCCAAATATAAACCTAAGCGTCATAAAATAGGCAAAATATCTAAACTAGGTTGCACCCTACCAATAACCTGACCTAATCGTACAATAAATTCGGCATCATTCGGCGAACAACCATGCAGCGCCAGTGGTGGCTTCAGTGGAAGAATCGCGTGCTGTACGCCGCCAACAAGTTTCAGTACGACGCCCAGAAGAAGGCCGAGTTGTTGTGGTATGGATCGAACAATGTCGGGAGCGCGCATGCCAATGTGTCGGTGCCGTTCATGGTCACGAGGCAGATGAAGGTGCAGCTGGCCGACAAGGGATTTCCATCCCATATCGTCGCGGCGCTTACTCCTGCCAACGCCCACGCCATTCTTCAAAGCAACACGTCGTTTGATGCGTACCTCAAGGACGCCACAACGTCGTCGACGCCCAACGCTGCTGACAATGCCGCCGACACCACCACCTCGTCGTCGTTGGCTGCAACTGGTAGCTCCGAGTCGCCTTCTACCGAGAGCCTACAACCAAAGTCGCCTGCATTGGCATGCGTATCAACCACAGAGGACAGTGTTGGCAAAACGAGATCTACTGCGAGCACTGCACCTGTAGCGGCGCTGGCCATTGTTCTGGACAAGCCAGCAGCATAACATTCGATCAACCACCCTCAACCACCACACGATTTTTCTAATACTGGGCCAGCATGATGAGATTGGTTTCATCAACAGTTTCTCCTTTCTGCGAGCGATCAATCATGGCATGCCAGTACCATCTAACATGCCAGGAATGAATAAACAATATCGCAACTAAGGTGTTGTTCGATAATTGTCGTACATTCCACGTACATTCAGGCATAGTGAAATCCAGTCATCCTGAGACAACGTACATAACGTACTGTAATTTGCATCTATTAGTTGTTAATGTCACTAACAGCGTCATTCCACATACTCGTTTCCATTCTGCGTGTATTGAAAACAGCAACGACGGTTCGCCCAGTTAATAGTTATACACATATTTTTGATTCGAGTTAAAAGATGAATTTCTATCAAAATTGAACCATTTTTGTTGTTCTATTTGATTCCATCGAATTATCTTTTTAAAATTAAAATTATTTGACCATCTTCGACGACTCCTTCTCAAGCCCACACGCCCACGGGGGATGCCTACCTAGGCATCGATCAACAACTTGTTGCTTGCATAAAGTAGTACTTTTGGTACAACTTTCCAGACCCCGCCGTAAAATATGTATTTCGCCGCCGAATCAAGAATCGACTATACTATTGGCGCATCCAATTTTGAGTAGTCGATTTGATTGGCTCTTACACAATACTTGACAAGCATAGTTAGCCAATCAGACCTCTCAATATTGATTCGCCAAATCACTCGAATAATGTTGCAAATCACAACGTTTCTACTTGTTGCGCCCGAGGGTGCGCTGTTTCTCGGCATGTACGACGACCTTTTCTTCTCTCGCGAGGCCTTTTCGTTTGCGCACCATCTCAATGAGCCGGCGCACGGCGTTGTGCTCGTCGATGCGCTCGCCAAAATCCTCGCGCTCCTCATCGGTGTGGGGCTGAAAGAACGGGTCTTCGTCCATGGTGGTCCAGTGGTCAAAGATCAGCTGCGGGTTGCTCGCGTTGCCGCTCGTGTTCTTGAGCAACTCGGTGGCGAACCCAAAGCTTTCGACCACGGGCAAATGCGCTTCGATGCGAAACAATGCGCTCCCGTCGGTCAATTCTTCCGACAGGACTTTGGCCCGCCGTTTGGCAAACACACTAACCAGATTGCAGCACCCACACAAACGCCATTAATACATCGCTCAATATATAAATATACACTTCAAAGTATCAAAAACAACATTGGCATCATGTATATATATATATATATATATATATATAATAAATATATAAACGAGCAATCATTATGGCGCGTCTCGTGTACGTCTCCCCATATATATATATATATATATATATATATATTGGTAATAATTCGATTTCAAAATGGACTGGGGCTGCCAAGCGCATCGACGAAGCAAAATCGACGGAACGAAGTAGCCAATGAAATGTTCGAATAAAAATCTTTCGACCAATCGAATTGCAGAGGTATCCAGTGGCATTATTGCCAAGTTTCTCCATTTCACAAAGAGTTCAACGTTGTATCGGACAGGAGTCACAGTGGGTATAGTTAGTTCAAGTAAAATGACGTCTCGGCGATTTCAGGTGGATTTGACGTATTTCGTCAAATTTACCGAAAATTCCAAATTTTGCTCGAAAGCGCAATATATAAACATCTATCAGCACCATATACCAACTACTCAGAGCAGAAACAGAAACACCAGCAACAAATATCCTCGGACGCTCGTCTGCACATACATATATTTATATATCTCTATCAAAAACAATATATTCTGAATAAATTACAATTATTCAAATACATATGCCAGCCACCACATCACAAAAAGGTGCAAGACCTCATTGATATATTGTCGCACCTGTACAGCTTGCCCAAATGCTCGGCATGACACTGCACGGTACACAAGTACATGGCTTCAACCAGCCGCACCGGTTGTTGGATAAACGCATTGCGGCAGCCGCTCTTCATGGTCGAAATCACTTGGCCACTCAACGGACCGTAGATGGCGGCGGCATCTTCCGTCGGGGTCAGCACCATGTCTTCGATCACAAATGCCACGCCCCACACGGGCTCGTCGCAGAGGGGGCCGCTCGTCGTCGCCAGTTGGAACCCCGTGATCAAGCTCGACTCAAACTTGGCGCGGGGGTCGCTGTCGGGGTTGCCAGTGTTGGCTTGGAAGATGGTCGATGCCGACGCGTAGTCTGGCACTCGATTCACAAGCACATTGGGTCCAACCTAGCATCCATCACCATTTATATTTTAGATCCACACGACGATCACAACATACAAGGGGGTAGTAAAAGTATGCAGTAATCATCGCACGCCTTCAATGTTGTGTTGTTGCTAAATAAGTTTGGAGACGTACACGGCGAGGTCCGCAGCTCCACAACGCATCCAGGGGCAGCGATCGCCAGTATTCATCGGAACATCCTTGTAGCACGGCAGTCAACTCGTCTTTGACGCTACATATATAATATATATATATATATATATACACCATCAAGTGGACCGTGGGCAACAACGATAATTGTATCGCAATATGTACAAGAGCAAAATAGACAAGGGCAAATTGCACTATATCCCGAATGATATCCATCAAATAGTTGTCGTAAAAAAAACAATCCACATTAACGCAAAAAAATCCCGCTAAAACCCGACCCGATATATATATTATATATGTATCGGTCTCATATTGCCAAATAGATTCGAATTTGGAGTCGAATGAGCACCACCAAATCAGCACATAATCGATCGACCAATCAAAATCCCTGAACAAGAATCAAGTGGCCAATCAAAATCGTGAAACCATCGAAATAGTGTGTTTTGCTTTAAATTCGTGTCAAGGGCCCCCTTCATCACATATATTGCCTACGAAAATCAGTATACACAAATACTCGATCGATGGATTTGGCGAATCTGCACAAAAATCCACGTATTGGCTGCAAAAAGCAAAATCACTGCTGCCCCATCCAAGTCTCATCCAATCCTCCCACGTATTGCATTCATATGTATGTACCTAGTGACGTCGACACTGTCGTCGCTGTCGTCTTGCAGCGCGCGCCACGTGTCGGCATGGTTTTCGAGGAAGGCCACGACGGATGGCGGCAGCGGCATCGCGCGGAGGTGCAGCGTGACTTGGCAGTCGGGCGTGGGGCACACGACCGTCTTGAACTTGCCGTCGGTCGTCCGCCCAGTGGTCATGTCGGACATGTGGAGGTGCTTAAAGTTGAAGATCGCGAGCTTGTCGTAGTTGGCGTCTCCGTTGGCGATGGTTTCGCGGAAACCCACGAGGGGCTCGGACACGCGCAGCGGCACTTTGGCAAACCGTTCGGTCAAGTCCTTGACACATCGTTCCAAGTGCAGTTCGCCCAGCGCCACGATCACATGCTCGCCGGTTTCCTACGCATTTCATCACGCATTACATGTATTCAATCCCGTTTTCGATTTAATATGGTCATTTCAGTTCGATATGGGGGAGTGAGTGGGATGTAAGCAAGCACCAAATGGCAGACAATCGATATACGACCAATCAATCATAAATCAATCTAGTTGTTGTCCTTGCACAATTGTGTTCGCTCATTGGTAGAAAGAACCACCACGTTTCCAGCATTCTAATTGGCTCATCGTATTCAAACAATAGCTCGCAACTCCCATTGGTTGCTGAAATATCCAAAGTCACTAAACTATGGCCATGAGGTGTAGTGGTATTACATTTTATATAACTGGTGAATCATATTATCTCTTCAAGGGTTAACGTCGAATTCACGTGTGACTGAAATTAGTGTGAAGCGCGACACTTCTTGCAAAATACAACATTCAACACAAAATAAAAAATCCATCGATGGATTTGGCGAATCAGCACAAAAGTCCAAAGTTTGCGTGTTAATCCTCTCAACAACACCTTTCACCAATGAATCTAATTCTATTTCTATCTAAATCCATCCAAGGAAGGTAGGTATTGTCTTGTGTTGCAGGTATTAAGGAGTCTTGTGCATTCGCGAATTGGCTGCTCAATCGAATGAATAGGAGCAGCACGACAGAGACCAATCAAAACCCAGAACACGAACCAAGTGACCAATCAAAAAGTAGGCAACTGTCGAATTCGCGTGAGTGCCTTCAAATAGTGTGACGCATAGACATTGAACATTCTGTATCAGAAAACACTCGATCGAGATGGATTTAGCGGCTGACAGTAAATCCAACTAACTATATTGGGTCAAACAACCATACCTGAACATGCACTTCGACGGTGGGGTCAGATCGATACAATCGCTGCAACCCAGCTTCAAGCTCTGCAAAGTGCCTCGGGTCTTCCGGTTCCACCGCCACCCGCACAATCGGTTTCGCTTGGTACGGCATCTTGGCCAACGAAGGGCACGCGACGGTGCTGGCCAGCGTCGCTACAGCAAAAACGACGGCGTGTTGGACACGGCATATCATTTTGACTTGTGGACATATCATTTTGACTGGTGGACATATCATTTTGACTGGTGGACATATCATTTTGACTGGTGGACATATCATTTCGAGAGAGTATTTTCAGTCACGCTAATTTTGTCAATTCGATTCGAAATATTGGAGTGCTCAATCAAATAAGTAGAATAACCCAATCGACAGATGACAATCGACGGACCAATCAAAAACACCAGATCAAGTGGCCAATCAAATACTACATAGTAAGATACTTTACCCTCGAATAATTTGTGTCGACACTTTCTTTGTACATGCAATACATTGCAGGGCAAACACTCGATCGATGGAGTTGGCGAATGAATCAGCACACAAAAAGCAACTGAAAGGTCACATAATATCACAATCCATCAACTCCCACTCGTAGTTCTAGACTCGCATAGTCAAAACACCCTCAGACAGGTATTGGGATTTATATATGTCTGGGATATAAATCAAACCCATCCTCGATGCAAACATTGTTGTTTCTATGTCTCTCATGTTGACTTATATCTTGGCTAGACATAATCTTGTCAAATCGATTTCAAACTTGAGTTCTCAACAGAATCGAATGTGTTTGGAGAATTGATTCAAGAACCGCCAATCAAATACTCACGTCAAATTTCTGCCAATCCAAACGGTTGACCCCTCCAGCATTGGGCAATACCATGTATATACTGATATTTGTATAGTATAATGTGTACAGGCTTAAATTGGATCAAACAGATTGGCGAAATCACTCCAACTTGGGGTGAAATATAACGAAAGCCAAAACATATCTTGCATTGTCCTGACCTTTGTAACATGAACACAAACAGTGGAAAAGCGTGGCCAGACGACACACACGAGTGGTTTCGTACCCGTCTTGAGCACATGCTCGTGCAAACCCACGATCCCGACGATGTTTCCAGGCGGCACTTCGTTCACAAGCACAAAGTCCGCCCCCATGACCATGTACAGCTGCAGACTCGTGGGGGGGATCTCCGTGACGTGGCTGCTGGACACGCCTTCGCTGCCGTTGTACTTGGGTCCGAGAAGGTAGAGCAGGTCATGGGCCTTCAACGTGCCTGAAAACACCCGTCCCACTGCCACGTACACTTCAGCCCCTCGGTTCGTGTCCTGTATGTCAAGCAAACAATCAAACGATGACTGACTACTAGATGGATGTTACACATTGTATATTTATATATCCCTGACATTGTTTTGATATCTTGTTTACATGTCAAAGTGAATTCGAATCATTTTCCAATAAGAGGCCACATAACGAAATATTGAATATGGATTATTGACATTGTATAGCCATCCCAGACACATTATTCATCCTTTTTTCATGTCATAGTTAGTGGATAAGTAGTGGTCTATATAGAATATGGATACTACATACATTGTACATCACTGACATTGTTGATGTATTTTTTTGACATGTCAAAGTAATATTAAAAAACATCATTTCAAAAATAGACCAAATAATAAATATCAAGCACGAGTTCAACGTCTGTACGCACATTTTTCAACGGATACATGGCTCGCAACGACGCATTGGTCGCATAATCCGACAAGTTGGACGCTTCCGTGGACACCATTTTGCAAATGTACACGACCACTGGTCCGTTGGCATTGCAGGCTACGAATACAATTCGTTATATATAAGTCAGATCTAAAAAACAAAATGAGCGCTAGCTACTGTTGGGCCGAGCGACAGTCTATTCGTTTGGTTTGAATCATAGAATGTAGCGTACCTTGAATCGAATGGAAGGTAGCGACTTGGTCGGCGTCGGCGGCGTCGGGGACACAGAGGCGGTCGGCTCTTGTCTTTTGAGCCGCGATCGGCGACGGCAGCACGCGAGAAACCATCTTGAGCACGGACGGAGCCAATGGCAGCCATTTGCGCATGACTGCTTGCAGTGCGAGCTTTCGATCTCGCTGGAGCAACTCGCGGTCGTTGACGAGTTTGGCCACGCGTAGCGACTACCGCCACCCAAATATATAATCCAATCCATTCAAATCCATCACTTCAAATATATATCGAGGGCGTTCCACAACCCATCCTCCAATACTACATATATAAATAAATTAAATCCAATCAAAGCCACCATCGTCCAATTATATATATATGTATATATTACGTGTGTTCCACAACACAACCCATGCTCCAATACACATGTTCCACAACACAACCCATGCTCCAATACACACACATATATATTTATAAATCCATCCAAAACCCATCGTTTTCCAACAGTATATAATACAGTAGTACATATCAAGTATGTTCAACACCCCATCCTCTAATACGTATATATACAGTATATATATATCTAATATCCATTTATCCACATCCAACAATTTATAGCAAGTGTGTATTCAAATCCATCCTCCAATATATATATATATATCTTCGCCCCATCCCCGTGCAATTCAATCCGCCAGTCTTGTATACCGGATACATAGTAATACAAAGTATTTTCTACCTTGGTCAGCTGCCGAAGTTTTTCCAAATATGTGCCGTCAGTAGCGAGTTGAGTCGGAGGCGGGAGGGGCTCCATCATTGTTTTGTACACGGACCACAGCGGTTCCAAGATGAATGAGATGAACATGGGGACGCTGGACGACGTCCACGGCGTACTGCGAATGACCTTGGTCTTGGCGTGAAAGTAGTGGTCGCCCCATAGACCTTGCCGCCACTGGGCTTGGGGGGTGTCGAACTTCTTGCTATAATATGCGGCAAAGTACCTACTCAAACAACACACAACGGTCGTGTCATATATACACAGGGGTACATCACGGCAACGCAAAAATATACACGGGCAAGAAGGGTTCTAGCATTCGAGAATGAGCCAAGATGTAAGCACCAAGAAGAAGATTGCACTGTCGTGCCGTAAAATCGAATATCATAAATCGATGCTATTGGCTAATCCAAATTTTCAGTGGATTTGATTGGCTCTTACAAAAAGGACACGTATTGTGATTTGTTCTACTCAATTTTTCCCTCTCGCGGTTGGTTGCATGAACCGCTGAACAATCGCCGATCAAATCGATTTAAATAAATATTGAATCACTTGCTCGAGTTTTGATTGGTTGAGTATATTTGTCCTTTCTGTAAGAGCCAATCAAATCCACTCAAAAAATGAAGTAGCCAATAGCGTGGATTCGTGATTCGATTCGGCGGCGAGTTCTTCGATTTGACGGGGGCTGGAAATTCGTATCGAATAATTCACAATAGTAGTAGTATACAACATAACATACCCGATGCTAAACGCCCAGCCATCGTACGCACTGCCGAAAAGCACGTTGCCATACGCTGGGGAAAACATCCACTGCCGCTCCAACGTCTCAATGGTCTGGTCGTCGTCGTCGTCCAAGAGAGACACGTCGATCTCTTGCTCTTCGTCCAGCTTGTCGGATCGAATCATCGAGCTGATGATCACGTTTGCCTAGTTGTTGCATGGGTAGTTTCAGAATCGGAATGGTGGTATTGTGGATTATTCGATACGAATTTCCAGACCCCGTCAAATCGAATAACTCGTTGCTGAATCGAATCACGAATCGACGGTATTGGCTCATCCAAGTTTGAGTGGATTTGATTGGCTCTTACAGAAAGGTCAAGTATATTTAACCAATCAGAATCCAGCGTGATTCAATAACTATTGAACAAATCGCGCGAATTTTAAAAGTTTATAGCGAATTCACAATATTGTCGATTTGATACAAATTTGGGGAGGGGGTGCAATCGAATCGCGCCGACCAAACCGATCCACAATCGATCTGATTGGTTGAATTTCATTGAGAAATGGGTTGTGATTGGCCAATAATTTTGAGGTAATCTGAAGTAGCCAATCAAATCGATTTAAATTCCAACGAGAAACCACGCCACAACACAATGAAATTTCACTCGAAAGCACAATACATGACCAACATTTCGTTTTCGACGAGAGTGTGGGTCAAAAGACCGGACAACAAAAGTTGCGAATTACGCTGGCCGGCGGCGTACCTGCTCGACGATGCGGCAAATGTGCTGGTACGCTTCCACGGGGGTGAACTGCAGCTCGTGGATCAACCGATCGATTTTGTTGAGCACCAGGCACGGCCGAATGCCTTCTTGCCATGCCTACGCTGGAGGTTCAGATGATTGGACGAAAAAGAAGAATGAATCGACTACCTGCCGCAGCACGGCGTGGGTTTGCGCGCACACGCCTTCGATCACGTCGATCAGGACAAGGGCACCGTCGCACAATCGAACGGCCGTGGACACGTCAAAGGAAAAGTCGACGTGACCGGGGGAATCCACCAAGTTGATCAAGTACGGGACAGTCACGTCGTCGTTGGTCGAGTCCAGGCCGCGGTCTTTTCGCTCGGACGGCGTCAACGGCCCTTCGTACATCAGCGAAATCGCACTGGATTTCATCGTGATGCCCCGTGTTTGCTCTTCTTCCGTGTTGTCCAGGAACCGTACCTGGAAAGGACTAGTTAGTGCGCGCGCTTTCGGTTTCTTGGATGCATATACCTTTCCTGCCAGCTTGTCGGAAATGATGCCATTCGACGAGACCAAACTGTCACTGAGCGTCGTCTTCCCGTGATCTACATGGGCAATGATGCAGATGTTGCGGATGTGTGCCGTGTCCTTCTGTAGCGCCGCCAATTGCCCCGGTCCAACGCGGCCTGCCATGATGATGTCCTGGAGCAGTTTGGGAATGCCCGGTCCACCAATCACAGCATAGTATGCTCGTATCCGAAATATGAGAATTATCCGGACTCTAGCAACCAGCTAACGGCACATACACTCTTGACATAGAAGAGTGAAGGTACCTGAACAACCTGACCAGTGGAAAAAGCGCAGAGGGTTTGACTGAAGAGCAAGTTCGCCATAGTGAAGCGCATACTAATTCTTGTGTTTATTCCAAACTGGACATGGAGAATGAAAATCGACACAACCAGAAGAATCGGCAGAGGAAGTGTTTAACCAATCAGATTGCAGGAAATCATCATCAACGTCGATGTTAGTGTTATACCAATCACCACTGGACACCTTTTTACGTACAAATTTCTGTAAACTTACAAAGAGTCGATCTATAGAATTGGCGATTCAGCACAAAACTCCAAATTTTTTTTGAGTACAGTAAGGGGGCAATACTTGCGGTAGTACGGAGTAAACCACACTCACTTACTCTGGTGGCCGGCGAGTAAAAGGCGGTTATAAGTGAGTGTAATTTACCGCTTGGCCGATTCTGTTGCTTTCAGTACAACTACAGCATGCGAAGCCAGGATTTTCGAGTTGAATTTTAGCTTGTTTTCAGCAGCAGCTTAGTACACCGACCCGTTGCAAGTCCGTGGCGCAACGACGCCAAACAGCTTTCATATTTCACTAAGTTACTTACTGTTGCATTGGATCGTCGTCCTAACGGTATTGGCGAAAAATCTCACGTTGAATTGCGCATTCTACTCTACGCCAACAATACTACTAGTACGTAGTAGATGGCGTGGTTTTCAACGATGTGGTACCATACATACATTGCTGTTCCGTCGTACTCAGGCGCATGTCCTCGCTGTGTGTCATTTGTAATATCAAAAGTTGTTCATGACGACCAGTGAATAGTGCAATTTGGTCCCGAGAATAGCGGATATAACTTCAACTTGCACTTTTCAAATGTGCAAAAGCGAGGGAGTTGCATAAATGACCTCCCTATAATTACATTCTGTAACGAAAACGTGACATCCTAAATCACGGTGCTGATTATCTAAAACACTGGGGTCTCTGTAACAAACACCCAGGTTAATGGTGTGAATAGCCAAAACGAGTGCAAAGCACAATAACAGTACGTACTGTAAATTACATGTTAGTAGTATGGTGCAAGTACAGGAATCAAAGACTACATCTCGGCCATCCCCAGGAGGAGACGTTTTACTAGTACTATTAAACGCCTCGGTTCATTTCGTTAACTGTAAACCCACGAAATGTTGACGTTAAATCATTATTAGTTACGTTTTTTACTTGGTAATTACTATTAATAGTAATAGGTTAACTACCGGTAGTTAAACCTCCTACGGTATAATAATCCGGATACAATGGAAGCGTTTGTACGGATAAGCGCTGTCAACAAAGACCAAGATAACGTTATAATTGATGCTCCTTTTCGGCCAAATGTGCCTGACAAGGCCGGTTGGTTTACTCGATCAATTTTTCTCCAATCGAAAATCTGAACCGTAACTTCTGTTGGGCTTGTCCAGTTCTATCTTTATACGGCTTATTTTCCTAAAAAATATCAATACAAAGTTGGAATAGCTGTCGAAAGACAAGGCATTTTTTGTAGTCTTTAGATGACTTCGAAGTTTTAATACGAAGTACAACGTAGTAATTAATTTGAACAACAGTAGTTACAGTAGCGTTACAATGTAACCTGTTCCAAGTAAATTTCGAAATGGGCAGCAGCCAATCAAAACGCTCCCCAACTCAATGTCCCAATTTCATCCCATTTTCGGCAACCCACTGCGCCAAACTACTCGCTGAAATTATCGCCTCACCAGCCAATTATTGATCCTACGCTCTCTAAGCTTGAATATTGAGGGCCGAGATGAACACAGATAACCACAGTGCGGAGCGCAGTCACCAGCTCATACATGTAGGCAACTGGCGCTGCTGAAGAATTAGTGACTAGAGATCTGACGGTCGACCCTGTTCGGTGTTAAGCGCAACGACGGACCTCGGCTTAGCCACGGGAGCCAATGAGAGCCCTTGGTGCAATACTATGTTAGCCAATCACTTTGCGTCTTCTGGACACAATTTATGTCCAGGCAACAAAATGGGTACCAAAGTATTTTGTCACTCCAGTAATTTTCGCAATTTTCGAATTCTACATGTGTACAGTACTTGGAACAAACAGGCTCTTAGAGCATGTTCCAAGTACGAAGGTACAGTATCGTTAGGCCGAATGTGACTTATCTGTATTTGTGAGTACCGTAACGTAGTTGGCCAATTTATGATGCGCTAGGAAGAGACCTCGTGGTAGAATGCAGCTTACTCGTCTCTCACGACCGGGCTTTCAATTCTGAAAAGTGCTGCATGAAGCCGAAAGGTTGGGTATTCTTCTGGTGATTTAATCGGTTAAATGGACTTCAATTTACGCTCATTTACTTCGATTTCCACTCATGTCAAGGCAAAATAGGAGGGACGGTTTATGGTGCATGGTTTAAGCTTAAAATATGTATGCGGGTTTTGCTTTTTTTTTTGGCGATTTTAGTTTTTCTAGTGATTGGATTGGCTATTCCAAAAATCAAGCTATTCCATTGGCCAATTTGCGTACTGTAATAGTAGGGACAGTTTATGGTGCACGGTTTAAGCTTAACCTTAAAATAGGTATGCTGATTTTGCTTAGTTTTTGGTGATTTCATTTTTCTAGTGAATCAATTGGCTATTCCGAAAATATATCAATTCCATTGGCCAATTTGGGTGCGCCTCAAACTGTCCCATGCACCATAAACTGGTCACCTAACATTACAATGCAATGGTTGCAATTCACCTGCAGAGCAGCGAAGCGACTCGCGTGGCCACCACTCATTTGGGCACTTCAGATGCGTGCAGCCTTGGGTGAGCGTCAAATACACTCTTCACGCAAGAGTGAGAGCTTCCATGTTACGGCTCTGGCAGCCCCAACGTTTGTGGTGTTGCAGCAATTGGTATAGAATTCAACTTCGGAATAGAAAAAAGAACAGCCAGGCCAATCACATGGAAATGGCCTTTCGTGGTCAGGTTGCGCAGGCTTTTTATTCGAATCTCATCGTCCGAGTAGAATAAAAATACACTGGTCAACGTCACGACGGTGCATTTTGGACGAATATTAATATTCGAAGTTTCTGTGTTATCCGGTTCCGAATATTCAATAGGCATCTGCGAATCAGGCGACACTTTGCGACACGAGCCAATCAGATCGCGTGTTCAGAAAAACTCAGGCAGCGGTTATAATTAATACATTCAAGCGTCCTTGCAAATTCCCATATGCGGAAATTGCGACTAGAAGTAATTTAATGTAGCTAACCCTTCGTCGTATAAATCGAAGGTACTGAAGTGGTTGTGGCGTCCATTCCAAACTCGCACACAAGGCAAAAGATCGACCAGCACCCAAGTGGTGTGCCTGGCGTTCTCACTCCGACCAAGCTCGAACATGATGATGACTGCACCTGCGCCGCTGCTCTCGTCCTGCAACCAAGCGGGCACACCGGCCTCGTCGCCGTGCATCCCAAACCATGGCGGCGATACCGATTCCGACGACGACCTGACCACGCGTTCGTCTGCGTGCCCGCCGCGCCAACGCAAAGGTTCGTTGAAGCGACCGTTGGCCAGTATGTACGACAGCGTGCAACCGTGCGACTTGGAGATGCTCAAAGTGATTGGTCGTGGCACGTTTGCGCAGCAGGTGGCGCTGGCTAAGGACCGGCTGACGTCGCACGTGTACGCCGTCAAGAGCTGTGACAAGCAAAACCTCGTGAATCGCAAGCAAGTCGTGCACACGTGGACCGAGAAGCACATTTTGGAGAAGCTTCGTGGCCACCCGTTCATCGTAACGCTGTTTTCGACCTTCTCGACCCCCGACGAAGTCCACTTTGTGCTCGAGTACTGTCCCGGCGGCGAATTGTTCTACCACTTGCATCAACAAGACCGGTTCGACGACGCAAGCGTCCAATTCTACGCGGCCGAAGTGCTCACGGCCCTCCAATCGCTGCACGTGGCCAACATTGTGTACCGCGACCTCAAGCCCGAAAACGTGTTGCTTGATGCGGGTGGGCACATTCGATTGGCTGATTTTGGGTTTTGTAAGGATATTGGGTACGTGTTTTCCACCAATCAAATCCATTGCATCATGGAAAAAGAGGGTAACATTGAAGTCACTGTATATACGAATTTCAGTGGTTAACAGTTGACGACAATCAATCAAGAACGTGTAGTATATGCACGAAACTAACTGAGCGACTTCTTCCCTAGGGAATCGGATCGAACGTATTCATTTTGTGGGTCCCCCGAGTACTTGTCGCCTGAAATGATCCGACGACGAGGGCACACGGTGGCCACAGACATGTGGTCGTTTGGGTGTTTTTGCTTTGAATTGGCGGTGGGCCACCCACCGTTTCAACTGCACGACGACGCGGCCCTGCCCGCGCTCTTCGAGTCGATCACCGCCGGACGAATGTACTACCCGCCCCAGCTTTCCCCAACGTTTGTTTCTTTTTTGAAACGCTGCCTCGATGTCAATGTACAAAGTCTTACATATATTTGAGTATGTAAAGTGACTGATGATGAAAATATCCTTGGTAGCCGGTGACCCGTTTCACGGCCACGGAAGCCATGGACCACCCGTTCTTCAAAGACATTGTGTGGGCGCAAGTGCTCGCCCGCCAACTGACGCCGCCATTTGTCCCGCCATCAAACGGGGTCGAGTGCACGCAGAATTTCGACGACGATTTCACGTCGGAAAGCCCACGAAGCCCCACGTTGTTGGAAATGAAACAGCAGCACAAGAGGCAGCAGCAACTCCACCACCCACCACAACACGACGGGGACGACCCCGTCGACGTATTTTGCAACTTTTAGATGTGGGAGCTGCTGCATTTATATTAATACTACTAAAATACTACTTGCTAGAAAAGTAAAAAACGAAATTTAATTAACCATTTTATGAGTATACTAGTATTACGTACTGTCCGTTTACTGTAGGCGAGTCGAATGCAAAGAAATTTTCCACTGGGCCGATTTTAACGCAGTTTTTTTTTATCTGTTCGTCTTCGATCACATATTCTGCTTGCAGACGCTTGAAGGCCCAACTACAAAACGGTGCTCTGCGTTCGCAAGCAACGATTCCAGCGATGAAACCAAGTATTTTAATGAAGTAGACTATTTAAATAGTTATATTTGTCCAATACTTTTAATAATTAGTACCTCTGATATAGTAGTACTATAGATTTTTTACCTATAATTTTATTTTAAGACTCAAGTATAGTATGTAAGCTTCCTTCGATGACTGTACTACTAGTATTATATTATATTTACCTAATACTCCGGAGTATGTATTGCGACAGGTGATATTTCACAACCAGCCGACACTCGTTCGTTAATCCATTGCGTCATACAAATTTGAAGTATATTCAATATGTTCACAAGTAAATATCAGCTACTACTGTAGTATTACAAGAAAATTATCAGTTATAACAGGAGTCGCAAAGATTAATCCGTCGCAATACATACTGGTAACATATATACACTATACGGTAGTATTGACAGCAACGACATACTGTACTACTAGTATTACTAGTATTACTATTTTACTTAGTATTGACAGACTGTGAGTATTATTCATTCATACGGCAACCGCCAGTGTACACGATGGATATTATCCCAGAGTTAGTCTAACGTTACGGAAATACTACGTACTAGTAGTACATAAAGTAGTGGTAAGCATATTGGATTCTTCATACTAGTATCATCATCAGTACAATGAAGCTCCCACCTTCGCTGTATCCTCTGACGCCACGTACTGTTTCGGCATATTCCTCTGCAGTTGCAATGGAGTTGGGGGGAAAGTGAGGGCAATGTCTTCCTTGGGGGTGAGCGATATCCCAACATGAACATGTTGTTGTCGACGGATAATTCGACCGGTTCGTGGTGAGTTGGTAGCATTGGCTCACATTGATTGGCCAGATGTCGAAACCCCCACTTTGTGCCACCTTGATTAGCACACAACCGCAACCTCGTGACCCCCAGTTGCCACCGCCACAAAGAGCCTGATTGATATGAATTGAATGTGGTTGTCTGACATGTCTTGAATCGTGTGGGATGATACTGCAGGGGCAACGTTGATGACAAAAACGGGGTTTCATCAACGTTAATCGTTTGGAAAGAGCATTGTCCAGTGCTATAACTGGATTTGTGGCTGGTGACGAACTCTACTTTTCGTTAATGGGGTCGGGATTTCCGTGGATTTATCTAGCGATGGCGTCGTGGGTTGTAGATAGTTGGGGGCGTTGTAGGAGCGGTTGGAATCGTCATGATTGGAGCAGCTGGCCCACGTGTGCTTGGTGGTAGTTTTTGTGGAGGAGTAGTAAGTAGTACGGTTTGTGTCGATGGGAGTGATGGAGACGTGGAGGTTTGGTGAGGGGGGCGTATTATTGGTTGTGACCGCCGAAGTCGTGGGGGTAAATTCGATGGGGGTATGTTGGTTGTGCTGATTGGTGTGGATTCTGGGGTAGGATTTTTTGTAGGTAACGTTAGTCGTGTCGTGATGTTTGGTTTGCTGCAGGGAACGTAGCGCCGCGAAAGGGTACAAGTTGGTCGTTTCCTGCTGGAGTATAGGTTGCAAGGACGTGGTAGCAAGGACAACCATGTCCATCGCGGTCATCGTAGCCCATGGATGCGGGTTTTGTATGGCAGTGCGCAACTTCCACAATGCTGAATGCTGATACTGTATATGTTAGTGTGTTCATGTCTGACATCCACTACTTTACCGCGTACTGTATTGGTTTCTTGGCGATCCCTCGTATTTTCGTATTTTATACTAGTACTGTATTGCCACGTCACAACAATGACTTAGACTCTATTCTTGACCATCGTTTCACTTACCACTATGTATGCGGGAAGTGGGGTAGCAAAGCACTGTAGCATCCCGACACTGTGCTGCTAGTTCCCCCCTTAACGTTGACGATATCACTACAATACGTACCGTGCGTTTTGGCAAAACGAATGTATGTACTTTACTTGATTTGTCATGTGTGAACAGAAAAACCTCTATAATATTGGCAAGTAGGAATATTATTATTGAGAGATCCTCTTGATACCAAGTACCTTTCGAAAGCAATTGAGGATAAAGTTTAAGGATGAATATTTGAACATTGTGACAGGCGGGAAATTTGACGCGCATTTGCACGTCAGCATGCCTCGCAGCTCATCCCACCGAAAGGCCACTGGAAGGCCCGTTGTGAAGAACAACAGACGCAAGGGACCGCCTCAGCATCGCAGATTGTACTTTAGCTACATGAAGCAACTGCACATCATCGACTGGTGCAAACAGCACTCCATGGACTCCGCTTTGGACACCTTCTTCTGCGGCACCCAAGGGACATCACGTGTCTCCGCCATGAAGAGAATCATGCGATGGGAGAAGAACCGTGAACACATTACCAACAAAGCCAGTAACCCCAGCACTGCCAACAACAAGAACACTCGATTGCTCGGAACTGCGACAACTCTACCGGTGGAACAAGAAGAACATCTTGCAAGCTGGGTGCACGAGCTACGCTCCGATGGCATCCCCGTGAGCAGATTATTGCTGCAGTGTAAAGCACTTGAAGTCGCCAAAGATATTGGACTGAATGAAGCTCAATTCAAGGCAAGTCCGTCATGGATCACTGGCTTCATCAAGCGTTGGAAACTTTCCACACGAGCAAAGACGCGCTCCGGCCAAAAGAACCTCGAAGCCGGGCAAGCTGCCTTGGCTGAGTTTAGCACCCGAATCCGCAAGTTGATCGAAGAAAAGGGTATTGACGACATATACAATGCTGATCAAACGGGCATTAACTACGAATACATCCCCAAGCATACCATTGACGACCGTGGGGCCAAGACCGTCTGGATTCGATGCTCTGGGCACGAGAAGGACCGCATGACAGCAATGCTACTGGGTGACACGAAAGGAACCAAGTACTCCATGTTCCTTGTCCTGAAGACACAAGCATCCAAGATCAAGGAAACTGTGGTGGAGAATCTTACCCAGCGTAATGGTTTCGGGAAACGAGTCTGGCCTGAAATTGAAGATCTTCAAGAACGCCATCCATCACGCATCTACGGAAACCCAACCGCTTGGTGGAATGGGGACATATCCAAAAGGTTCTTGGCGTACCATTTTGGCCACCGAAAAGGGAAAAAAAAACCTCAAGAAGGTCCTTTTGCTGTGGGACGACTTCAGCGCCCACTTCAGCGACGATGTCGTCGACTACGCCACATCGTTAGACGTGATTCTTGAGAAGATCCCACCAACCTATACTTGGATGTGCCAGCCAGCGGACCTCGCGTGGATGAAACCAATGAAGGCCATGATGCGCAAAAGATGGGTGACCTACTTGAGTGACTCCATCAAGAACCACAACCAAGAAGAAGGTGCATTTACACTGCGTCCACCAACACGTGTCGACCTTGTCGAGTGGATCAACGACGCGTGGGATGCACTGCCAAAGTCCACTATTGTTCAAGGGTTCGTCATGAGCAACCTGGTGGACCATCCAAGCTTACCAGTACAAGGGAACACAAGTCACGCAACGACATTTGTCGATCAGCCGGACGAGATCGCCACCCTACTGTGTCGCTTGAGACAAAGCGACGTTGTCATTGACGAATTGGACAGTACCAGCGACATCGCAGACGGCGCTGCTGAGGACGACGACCATGAGAGCACTAGAGAGTAATGTCAGTTTTTCAATTTGTAGATAGAATATACCCCTTGTGTTGGTTGGATAAGTCGGCAGCACATTTGACATCACCACGCACAACGCCTGGCTCCGCATAGATAACAATTGCCGGTATCCGGCCCAGCAAATCCGTGGGCTAGGCCTTGCGGCGGTCCCATGACTACTAGGCGCGGCCCTTTTGACAATGCCATCCATGTGGCCCGACGTCGCACGTGGCTTTGTTGCATGTGCCAGTTGGATGTGTTTGGGCAGCATTG